AAACTTTATTCCTGCAACAACAAATTGAATTTATTTATAAAAAAATGTACTCTTTTTGATACATTAAATATAAATAAATCATTTATTATTTAAAACTTATAACTATAATAATCAAAATTAAATCAATAATAGTCGGTGTTTTTGGTAAATACTGGATGCTTTTAAAAATAATCAAAAAAAAAACGAACAAAAAAATTAGAGAAAAACGAGGAGCCAGTTTTTTTTGGACAAAATCCGTCAAATTCAAGAATATGTACTGCAAAGTTGGCTCTTCTGAACGCAAATTTAATAAGTTGCGCGTGGGCCAGAAAGAGAAAACCAAATATAATGTTCTGATATCCCAAAAAGAATTAATTTTACTCAGTTATTTTTAATATAAGATTAAATTGACCTATTATGAAATTTAAAAGTAAGAATATTATTCAGAGTCCCACGTAAGTATTTTTTTATTTTAAAGCAAGTTACAAGCACTTAAAAATATATAAGAAATGTGCACTTTTAAAATGCTCTAAAATTAAAATGGAAAATATTCATTGCTAAAAATATGGTAATATTAGTAAATTAATCAATGATTTATCATTGAATTCAAATTTAACTTATTCCTCATTATGCTAACCAACTCTGCAATGACGAGATTCACTCTACGTACATTAGGGAGTTCCTGATTGTTAATAATGCTATTTATAGTTTTCTAAAGACATCCGATTTTCAAAATTAATTTTATTTACATAGATCGACAGTTTGAAACGATAATATACGAATAAATAATAGTCGATATATAAATGCATAAAATCAAAATAATTTGTTACTGTAAAAATGCGATTGATGATTTTTTAACGTCAGTTATTTATACTTCATACACCTACATAACACTGAAATATATTTTAAACGAGTCAGATGAAATTAATCTTTGAGTAGACGACAAGAAATGTGTTGTAATTTATTGTTATTTCACTTCTCTTTTGTGTTAAGCCACTCTAGGAAAATCAATATCGGTTGGCAACCCTTCGTTTCGAAACAAATTCCCTAAGCACAAATTTCACCGGCCGGAAGAACCACTTTAACACGCTGAAACTTTTACTTTGGGATTGGAAGTAGCGTGAGAAAAGAGAAGCGGGTACACCTTAATTGAACGTATATTGACTTTATATGTCTACGAGTACCTAACGGGCTTTTATAAAAGAAAGACTTCTTGAAAAAAGTAAAACCTTTATATATATATATACGTCTACAAAAATACAATATAATGCTTACCAATCTAAACTAAGCATTTCTTGAGCATTGTTTCGCCGAGACGAAATCATCACATGTTTCGATGCGAATGTCGTTATTGCTGCAGTAAACATTTATGCAACAGTACAATATAAAGTTAATTCAATTCAATCATATCGACAAATTAAAATCCGGTGTGGTGGTATGCAATAGCGGTACATTTAATTCCAACGTTTAGATTAGACCTAATTTATATGTACTATTTTTTAGAGATATCAAGCATAGATATGTGGAATTTTTTACATACTATCGTGATTGTAGATTATTATTGCACTAGAGCAGCGGTTGTCCACCTTTTTATATTCGCACCACTTTCACAGTTGGAAAATTTTCATGTACCACTTGATCAAACTATGTTTTATTGCATATCAAAAATTATGTATATGTTATTTTACGTGTATGGTATTTTTTTTTTTAATTAGGAACCACAAAAATGATGGTATAATATCCAAGCATTTAATGCATAAAAAGGAAATGAAATATGTACAATTATTACTAACTACATTACTATTAAATTAAAATAAACCAAATAATATTTAATGTGAACAATGATCCATTCTATTTTTTTTTTTTACAAAAGAAGATTTTCTTAGCGTATCACAGTATGCACGCTGCACCAGAAAATTATTATTATTTAGGTATTTAGGAGTATTATATTTAAACTTTCAATGTAACTAAATTTGTAATCAAGTAAAAAATCAAGGATTACCAATACTTATCAACCCGATCTTATTATTTACGTAAATATTTCCAAGAAATAAATCATAATAGATAATTAATTAATCAAGTTCATACTAACAGTAATGGCGTAATGCAGTTTCAGACAGCGGGTGGGCTGATATCATATGATTACAATTATTATTAATCGTTGTCGGTGTATTTATAGGATAAGAGATAAGATAAAACTACGACCTGTATAAATAATATGATTAGATACTTTAACGTTAAATCGATCAAGTTGAATATAAGACGATAACATTCAATTAAAATAATAACCATGTTTGTTTAGTTGTACGAAATAGTGTTTAGATATTAATCGTATTATAATATATTCAATCCGGAAACGTACCCATAACAACGAAACCTAAGTTTACGGATGTCGGATCTATAATATGGGTCCAAGGGACTCTTTTAAATCCCTCGGTGGAAAATATGGGTCTGATGAAGATCAAATAACTCCCATATACTATCAATATATTGTTATGATTTAAGAGGTTAATTATAAATTTAAAATCTACAGGCTACAGTATCCAGTAGGTGCAAACGCAATATTTATGCAATATTATATCATGTTTGAGGTTCAGATTTGTATCTATTCATATAATATATCAACACGAATTACAGAAACACATAAATGTCATGTTTATAAATATATGTATAGCAAATATGTTTACGTAATAAATGTTTAGGTATGCTCATGATAGCTGTTAAATGTAGGAAAAAAACTTTGAAAAACCGAGAAAGTTTCTTTGATGTATGGTACCGGGTTTAGTAGGTTTCGAGTGTAGCTAGTCATTTATTAGGTCTCTGTAATGGATGGGTTAAATATTTAAATTTAAATTCAATAATAAATTATTGCATACCTACAAAAAACGGTTTTGAACAGAGATGTGTGTGTAATTCACTATTTCTAAGGATATTTTATATTTATCGACGGAAAATAGTTAGAACAAATAAATACCGTAGAAAAAACAAAAATATTTTTAAAAAATTGTATCTTGCCTGAAAAATGCAAATAAAAATATTAATAATAAAATAAATAATTCAGTGAAAATGTCAAGTCCCCTTACTTTAAGACACGGTCATTCAATTGATTTAGCATAAATATTCCCGTTATTCCATAATTTTGTTTTTCCCGATTATTTTAAAAGTAGGTAGATACTTACAATATATTTTACCCCACAATTATGAAACTAGATCTATTTGTCTACCAGAAACCACCCTCGTACTGGAGCTTAAAAATATTTAATTGCCCCAAACATGGTGATAGGCCAAAAAAACATCATTGTAAAACCAATAAATTTTATCGATCAGTATCCAAAATAAACATTTTATAAAAATATACGATAGTAAAATATTAGGTATATCATTATAATTTATAACAAACATAATTTTACATTAAATTGTTTCAGTTTTCTTGTCTTCCTGATCACAATTAAATGTATTCAATACGAAATTTTATCGGAATTTATTAATCTTTACGAAAGTACCTCTACTTGATAATTATACACAGACAAATAGGTTAAATAGGTTAAAAAAAATAAGAAGAAATGTGTAAGAACAAGTTTGATAGTAAATAATAATATAACAAAACACGTGAGCTTAAAATGATTAGAACCCAACGTATTTATCGTATATCGATATAAGTATGTAAATATCATGTAATGTATACAAAAATAAATTTGTAATTAGCCCCCTAATAAAAAAATTATCTTCACGTGATAAGAAATAATACATACCTACTATTGAAATAATTTTACATACTTTACTATTTTAGTGTATAAAACGACTAACCTGAGCAAAGTTTCAGTTTTTATGTATAAAATCTAAGGAAGGACGAGTACTCAGAACACTACATTTTAAATATCTATATTCATAGGTACATCAGGGGCGTATTTAGTCATTCTTCTAGGGGGGAGGGTCTCAATTTTGTCGAAAGTTAACTACGATTGAAAAATGGTTGAAATATTAATTGACCTGATTCATTTCAATCGCCAAGTTATGATAAAAAATTTAATTTTATAATATCAAATAATACACAACGATTTAACAGTGCAGCCATAACATACTACATAATATTATGTTTTTTTTAATTTTAATAAATTCCTATATGGAAATATAATAATATCACCTATAGTATATAGGTTATAATATATGAATTGATTAATTGATTCAAAAGATGTTTATAAGACTATAACAAACCATACAATACCGTCTGTACTACCCACCTATGAGATTAAAATAAATATTTTTGGGTTAGATATACGTTTTTTATTTCTGACAGATTTTTTGTAAGTTATTCGTTGTCATGGTTACTTATTAACAAAAATATATATAAGAAAAATATCAAGTAGCACTTACTTGTAATATTGGTTACATAATGAACTACAACTACTTGTGAGTTTTCATTATATCATTCATGAAATTGAAAAACCAAATACAGTTCTAGGAGTCCTCCATGATCGCCCCCCCCCCCTTAAAATACGCCCCGAGGCACATAAAAGGATGGTAAAACCATATCGAAACGGATAACACTTAGCTACTCATAACTCAAGCTGAAGCTTATATTATACTGTATAGTGTATACCTACTGAATTTTTTTGTGGCTATTGATTGACCTTTGAAAGTACTGCTAAACACTACATGGATTGTGATTTGTGATAAATTTTTAAACATTTGTAAAAAAAATCTTTGTTACTATAGTGAAATCGTTAATTTATAAAACTGTAAAAACTTAAAAGATGCATATTTTTAATAAAACATTCACTGATTAAGAATGGTGTTATTGATATACACTAAAAGTAATATTTTCATCATCAATCAGAATATTTTTAACACACAATAACATGCCTTTATGAGTTAGGAAACTACATTATTATATTAAATCTGAGCATAATATGCTCAGATTTAATATAATACAATTTGATAATAAATTCATTTAAATGAATATTTTATGTAAATAATTTATTAAACACACCTAACCATAAACCCTTATTACACTGTTTCAGGTTATAACATAATTGAATGGCTAATGGACCGTTTAACTGTCGACGAAACTGGTAAGTTTGAATTATTAAAATGGTTTCAATGAAATAGTTTCTACGAAAATAAAAAGCATAAAAATGTTCATAGTATGATTGTATGAATTATATGTATTCATAAAAAGTGTAAAAAATATTCGTCTTTGGTTATAACGAAAAATAGTGAGCAAAAACAAAACCAACATTTGAAAACCGCAAAGTAAATCGAACTAATTGTTTATGATTTTTTCATAACGTTTAATTGATGTTTAATAATTTAAACTAAATACATGAATGTTTAGAAAAATCAATAAAATAAAAAAAATAAATGTTTTGTTCATTATAAATAAAGTTTTCCCATTGTACGTAATATTACGAAAATTATACTTCCATAAATAAGTTATACAATTTAATTTGCCAAGTTAAATTTGATTCACCATTATTTACTGGGTTTACTTTTAAATTAACAGACCAAAATAAGATTTTATTTCAAATTATGTTTCAATAAGAACATGGAAATGCACGAACAAAAATTGTTTACTTAATGCAATGGAAATGTAGTTGATTTAATAAATAATATAATAATGTTGTTCGTTATTTGGACGACAACTTCTTAGTTTTAAAGGATTTAATATTGCAAATAAATACTGATAAGAAAAAGGTTAAAATCAAATTTTTCTATTCTTGTAGTAGAACTAAAAAACGTTTAATTCAGTAGGTATGTGTATTATATACTAAATACATTACACACATACATTTCTATACTTATATTTACATTTAGTATTTATGGGAACGAATTCTGTGATTTCTTTCAGATTAAAATCAGCCAATTTTTTTTTGGTTGGTCTATTGATTATTTAATACATTTTAATTTTTAATACATTGATAAATATTTTGAAAATATAGAATTAGTTACAAAATAGTTAGTACCTAGTACCTATTAATAGTATTTTGTAAATAATTAAACTATCGATTCTTTCTTACTAAATACAAACTCAGAGGTAGTTGAATATAATGACTTGTCCCTCAATACTTCACTGTAAACATAAACACAGTGTAAACAAAGTATAACTTTGATAACATTTTAAAATCGCAACCACTTCGCGGAACAATTTCAAACAAATGCAATCCTCCTATATTATTTACTTTTGGACTTTCAGTATACGTTTTTATATTTTACTACTTACTATTATATGGATCTATACATTATTTATGAAAATAAAAATGAACGTTCAAACGTACAAAAGTCCGAAAACGTAAACAAAACATTTCCATTGAAATATATTATGTATCAGCGTTGCTTTTAAATGGAAATCTGAAAGTAATGTACTTTATCATACGAGTTTTATGAGTCGAGAAAAAAATGTAAATAGGTATAGTAAAACAGTATATACATAGTACAGATAATAATAATAATATGCATCGTTATTATACATTATACGTTTTGTATATTATATGTATTCAAATGTTATGTTCAGACTGTTCAGAGTCCAGACACATGTAAAACGAAATTGGTCGCTCATCGTACAACAAACAGCTCTTACGTTATTATTATTTCTACCACTCAAATTTAATAAACGTTTCAATAAATGTTTATTATACTATGTATTATTATATACGCTGCACCACCGTATCTCCGTCTATACGCATAATATCCTTACACAAAATGAGTATCTATACCTACCGTAAAACTAACATACGTAAAGTATGTGTGATATCAATAAAATGAGATTGCGAAAAATATTTTCTACACACTTCTGCCGTACCTATTGAACAATACGTTTTAAGCGGCCACTAATTTCACATTGCAATGTTTGACTTTATAGCACATGTAATTAAACGATAAGCAGACCTTTCTAGAACTGTTTTTTTTCTTTTCATCCAGGCGTATCCTGCAAACGTAAGAAAAATATGTGATGGGTTTTTATTTTCCGTAAATCTATTAAATGGGTTATAGTCTCTCGATTGAGAACATTTTATCACCTATGTGTATGGCTTATATATAGGTCTGTGGAAGTTGAATTATGTAACGTAGCGGTGCTCAAATACAATATCGTATCAATATTAGGTACCTATATAATACTGACACAGAGCGCCGAGCAATAAACAACCCTATAGCATTATTCTTCCCGTTCGTCGTTTTCAGGAATGTTATATTGAAGAGGATTACTTTTATGGCTACGAGTTTCATTTCTATACAGCTACGTCGACTAATGCAGTAATGCGAATGATATACCAACCCAAAGAGAATTATATGGGTTGGTATACTGATGCCTAAATCACGAACTTATATGCGTATTAGGTATATTATAAATCCTCGACTGCGAATCCAAGTTAATTGTATATAAATAAAATAATATATATTAATATTATAAACGTATTGAGCAGAACCATTTTTCATACAAAAAATCTGTTATTGTTCACGGTCAATTTACCTTCATAAAAAAAAATCATACAGCAATCAAAATCAGGCACCTATATTTTTTTGAACTTATACGTTCTTAAGCATAGTACAGGAAAAAACAATAATTAATTTGAGCCGAGTAAATCGATTAAAAGCACGAAATAAACATAATTGTTAATCATAATTCATAGATTATAGATAGGTACTAAAATATGACGAAAAAATACCATTTCAAATAAAATCTTACTCCTTGGTTTTATTATTCGTGATAATATTATTCGAATCACCATCATTGGGACGTTATTATTTTAGACTTTAAGCTGAGCAATGAATGTATTGATTTTACAGAGATGTGTTTTATTTTTATTTGTGGCTGTTTTTACGAAATAATGCTTTGATTTTCAACTTCAGTAACTTTTCTGGTCGAAAAGTGAATCTAGTTGGTATATTCGAGATGAAAATTCCCAGTAGTTTTCAAAAGTGATGGGAAAAACAGAAAAAAAATTGAGGCATAACGGGAATTTTTAAGTTAAAATTTAACACATCTATTACAGTGACTCATATGACAACTAATGTACCTACAGCAGAGCTGTACCCTCTTTCCCACCTTTTTAAAATTATTTTCCTGATTTAAAAGGATAAAAACAGATCAGTCAGCGATTCCTATAATATATTACATAATATGGATGGCAACAGGGACTAGGTTTAGGTTATATATTCATTATCGCATTGGAAAATAGATTTTAAACGGAGCTTAGAGCATAATATTTCCAGTCGTTGAACGATAAAATAATTAAGTTCAAAAGCGCAACCTCCAGTCCAAATTTGCGTTAAATTTATAATACCGTGTATGGACGAGGCTTGGCAAAAAACAGTTTTATATTACCAGTAAAAAAGCATTTTAAAAAGAAAAACAAAATTGCAAATAAATCTCTAGTAAAACTAGTATAATATATAATTAGCTCTCCGCTTGAAGTAGGTATATACTGAAAAATGGGTAGGGGTAGAGGTAAGTATACATATTGTGTGTAATAACTGATCCATTTCACCAACAATTTTAATAAAGTTTTTTCCATTTTATGCCACTATAATAATAAATAAAATATAAATATTATTTTAATTATGACTAAGTAATCAAAAGTGAAAAATGAATTCACCATTTCCGTCGAGATAAGAGCTTATGTAAATACGTAGATATTTGTTTTAATTTTAAAACGTACACGGTACACCGGTGTAATGTAAAGTATGCACAAACCAAATATAATAATATTATATATACTAACATTCATTTATATTATTATAATTTATTTACATAATCGACCGCATAATATAATACGTCTTTATAGTGATTAGAGGTCTGTGAACAAGCCTATATACATTTTGTTTTATTGATACATTAACTTTTTGCAGTATATGATGATGCCCACCAATATAATAACGTACCTAAGACACTTTTTTTGTATAGGAAAAGAAAACAAGTAGGTAGTTAATATTGTTTGTGGAAATTGAGTTTGAATAACGTTTTGAATACCACTTCATATAAAATATGACCCCTTTTCAAATATTGTCCTATTATAGTAGCAATATATTATTCAACATTTTAGTAAGTTAGAGTTTCGTCGAAGCACAACTTTAAACAAGTTATCTACATCATAAATTATACTTAAAATGTTTTGAAATTCTGAAGATGACTTCTTGACATGTTAGTAAAATATTACAGAAATACGTATAATAAAAGGAAATTCATGTTTTTTATTACAGAAGCGGTCCATATAGCCAATATGTTATGTCAATACGGATACTTCTTTCCCGTAAACGACTCAAAAACTCTTACTCTAAAAGATGACAGTTCTCTGTACAGGTTCCAAGTAAGATAAATAATAACTATTGCGTATTAAACATCGAAACACCATTCAACGTCCATCGTTAATAATGGAGTTCAAAAAATAACTGTGATCACGACATTGTTTTTTAGATTCCGTATTATTGGCCATGTTCACAAAAGAATCCTGATAACGTAGAATATGCGATATACCTATCAAAAAGACTGCTAAGAAACAAACAACGACATGCCTTGGAAGACTATGAAATGGTAAGCATCAGTATCACATAACTTACTCGTAGTTAATTAAAACAACCATAAATTAACTTTAAAAGTGTATCCAAGTCCGAATTTTCAACCTCAGTGTAAACATGCAATAGATACATTTTTGAAAAATTTAACGTATATAAAAATAAGACCTTTTGATTTTTTTTTTTATACACAAAAACAGTCCTTTATTTGCATTAAATCGAAAATATTAAACATTTCATTTCAAAGTTAAATTCAATAGCTATTTGTTTTTTCATTAATCCAGGACTCATTGAACAGTCTGAAAAAAAATCTACAAAACAAATGGGAATTCATCACGATGCAGGCTGAAGAACAAGTAAAAATGAAGTGTTTTTATCTATTTAAAGTAATTAATCTTGATGACAAGACGTCAATTGTACATGGATCGATTATTTTAGGTGCGGCTGAGCAAAGATAGGAAAAAAGGCGAAAAAATAGTGACTGATAGTCAAGAAAGGGCGTTTTGGAGAGTACATCGACCTCCCCCAGGATGTGTCAGCGTTATGGAACAAATACCGATAAAGATTGGTGGCAGTTTTTCAACAAAAAAGAAAAGAAGTTCTGAAGATCTCCGGAGAGAAGTAAATAAAATACAAATATATCTTTATCGAACAGTGCGAATTAATTACGTTTTTATAATTTATTATAAACCATTCCACATCAGTCCATTAAAAATATAATTTAAATATTAAAAATAAATATTGTGTGACGCGTAATATTTTATATATATATATATATTATATACATATATAATATATATATGGACAGACAATTAACAATCGTATATCTCCTTTAACTGATACATAAAATATTATAACAGAAAATAGTAAAATATTCTACGGTTAACTTTCGGTACAAATTATTTTAAACGTCTGTCTTATTGAAAATATTTTCAATGACATCCCGTGTGGATGTGCCTCATTTCCTTTAAACTGAAGCTAGGTTCGGTTAAGTGTAACGGACCGATAGATTGCAACAAAAGACGACGGACATAAGCCGTGACCGACAGACGTGAAAAAGTTAAACAAACTGCAAACGTTTTACGATGCAATTCTATGAGGAATGTCAATATTTTCTTTTAGGTCGAACTGCTTAGAAATTGTATAGGGAGAACAAGAGTTAAAACGTCAGTAGCCTTGGACGGTCTAGTTGCATTTGCTGAGACGTATAACGAGTACGATCCATTAATCACAGGTGCTCAGCCATCGAATCCTTGGGTGACAGACGACCCAACATTTTGGACGTTCAATTGCCCAATGTGAGTTTAAGTGCCATAATATATTGTAATATTTAAAATGTTGTTTCAAAAACCAAAAAAACAAATTATCAAAATTCACACGAGCGAGAGCAATTTTAATATGTCTACGTGTTTCAGGGTGGAAGCCATAACCGAAAAGCGCATAAAACGTTGGGCTCTATCAATGGAAGATTTAGTGTCCGATGCAACAGGTAAATGGGCTATTATTATAATAATAATTATTATTATTATATGAGGGTTTACAAAGGTATTCGCCTTTGGTCAAACGGTGAAGTATGAGTACAATCGTTTTACGCGTTAATTTAACTCAATGTTTTATACTCTCAATAATCGTGTTAATCATGTTCAAAATACATACATACCTTATATAATATATACGAGTAGAATAACATTCATAACATAAATAACATGCATATTACATACCTTGTAGAAATTGGAAAATATCTCTCTCCCGCAGAGTGCGTCGCTTTAGTCAGTTACATAATTATTTTCATGTTGAACAGGTCTCTACGAGTTCACAAATTATCTCCGGAAGGAATACAGCCACGAAAACATTAGGTTTTGGTTGGCGGTCAATGATTTGAAACGGAGCTGTCAGTCACAAATTCTGCAAAGAGTCAGAGAAATATATGAGTAAGTATGTTCTAAGGGAAGATTTTCATGTAGCACTAAAATTATTATATTATAATAACAATGATTATTATTTACGCTGCTAAACAATTTCAAACGTAGTGAAATATCTATTTAAAACGCATTTTTACATACAGTGGATATGTTACAATGACGATTTGTCAATTTGTCAGATCTTCATAATATATATCTTGTGGTTCGTTCCTATACATGCAGTGCAGTTGTTAAGTAATACTTTTCGTATGAAATATAGGTATATAAAAAAACTAATTAATTAAAATCAAAATTAATATGGTATGGGCAGTAGATTTGTATAATTTTTTTAATAAGACTGACAAATGTGTTACACTTTAGTCATACCTATAATTTTATTATTGTATTATTTCACCATCATTGTAAAATATAACACAAAAATACATTATTTTTGACATGTCCAATAGTAAATTTGAAATTATGAAATTATTACGACCTATAATGTCTATACAGGTTATAAAATAACATAAAATCAACCTCCCGAAAATATAAATTAAAGCATCAAAGTAGGCATTCTGCAATATCAGTAAATGAATTAAAAATGCAATTTAAATGTACCTAATCATATACATATATATATATATATAAGAATAAAAGTACTCGAAGCCATTAAACGTATTTGAATAATAATTATACTAAAATATTTTACAACCATGACTGCGTAAAATATAATAATAATATGCACTCCCCCCCCCCCCATCTATACGAGTCATGTCTATATCGGTATCGCATGTTTTCAGTGAGTTCCTTGCGCCCGGCGCTCCATGTGAAATCAATATCGACGGCAAGACGATGGAAAGAACGCATAAAGAAATGAAAATCCCGTCTAGATTTACGTTCGACGGTGCTGCGGAACATGTGTACACATTACTGTTGAAAAAAGACTGTTATCCTAGGTTCATAAGGTCGGAGCATTACAAAAACCTGCTCGCTAATGGAGTCCAGCCCTCGGCCAGACGAAGGTACAATGTTATACGACGAATGACGATGTCATAAATATAATTCGATTCACTCTGCACAGTTCTGCTGTGCGGCAGAATCTGTAGGCATGATTTTAAATATAGGTACGGCCGCCGGAAATCGGCTGCATCGCGGTATTATATTATTATATTTTGTGTTACGTCGATAGTATCGATACATTCGCGCATTTCGACTATACTCGAGGTTCGAATAAAATGTTATTTGTTATTTTACCTCGAATCAAATTTTTGAATGACAGTATGACACTAATCTATATGACTATATGATACAGAAAATGACGATCGAATACGTAAACTCTTACGAATCATACGAGATTAAAAAAATTTTCAGCCTTAAAACTATACGCATTATTGTTGGTGATGTTTCCTTTAGATTTTTTGGGCTGGTCGGCGGCGCTGCCAACAAAAAGGCAGATTGCAAAGAACGCATAAGGAGCACTGCAGGATGTTCGAGCACACAGGGTACGTCATCGTCGTCGGTCTTACAAGCCAATCAGTCGTCGTCGTGTAGCAGCGCAAAGCGAAGGGGCAGCGACAGGAGCCTGACCAGCTCACCACACGAGCTTCCAATAAATTCTGTTAAAGTCTCGCAATCCCATAGTCAATCTAATCTCAGTGACATACCCTATAGGTAAGCCAACAAAAAAGATACATACAATGTACCCGCCCCTATGTGTGTTTACAATACATATAATATGGTTAAATATATATACTATATTATAATGTATATATATACATATATTGTGTACTATATACTATGTATATTAAGCGTTTTAACGTCTGAGCATAAACATACACAAAAAAAATCCACATTTATCAAAACCCAGTTTATGAATGTAACAGTCATTCGCTTTACCTAGCGGTAGTGAATAAGGATCTCATCACGCATACGAGTGTTCGAAAATAATAACTAATATAAGGCAGGTACACAAAAAATATATATTTTGGGGTGGACTGTGTCTAGGTCTGGGCTCTACATATTGTTTTAAAATATTAATATTATTAACCGCAATAAAAATTTCGAGAATGAGGGTGGAGGCCTAGGAGGTTGAACCCGACCATTCAACCTGTGTACGTTATAATATATAATATTTTACCGTTTTTACACATATTATTTACTAACTGCTTTAGCGTTACGTGTCCCAACCTTGTACTTATAATTGGACAAATAATATGATCGCAGTATAAAAACTATATAACAATATGTTTACCATACCACGTTTACTTAGGTCAAGCAAATTATTGTTTGATGTCTGTAAATATTCCAATATTAAGTATTCACTGAAATCTGATCGTTTCAACTATACCTATATTTGAACAAGTTTCCAATCGATACAACAATAACCATCTGTCATTGTTATTATCTACATTCAAATTTTAGGTCTAAAAACCCTTCACAAGTGCACAACTATCATTTATGACAGTAATGTACTATGTAACAGAGTAACTTGTATTTGGCGTGTTAGGTAACAAACATTGGAGTGGCTTATTGTATACTCTTTACAAAACAATTATTTTAGCATACAATCTAGTATTTACCAAGCAATTAATTGAAAATAGATTATATTACGTACTGCGCTGGATAACTTTTTAAAAAATAATCCAAACTATTTTAAACACATTTTACTGATGCGGACATAACGCATACTAAATATTAATACGCTCATATCAGTGGAGGCACATAGATTAAAACGTACAAAAAAACATTTGTTGCTAAAAAATGTTTAGCGAAAAACCAAAATTTGCTTTTTGTGAAATCGTAGGTATCAGTCGAGTTAATTATATTTATATTTATATACTATTTAAAAAGTAGAATTAATAATGAGTGTATAAAAACATCTTCTAGTCGTATTATACTATGTACCACTGTAAAATATACATACGTAGTAATGCATTGTAAAATATAAGACAACACCAAGTTCACTTGTATACATAAAAATGTACAAATATTTATTTAGCTTTTCCTCGAGTACCTATATACGTTGCAACCGAGCAATTTTTCTTGTAAAATAGCACATATATATATATATATATTATTATTATACTTTACGTACATTATGTATTATACTTTTGCACAGTCACACGGGCACAAAGAACACAATTATAAACACTTTCTATGGGTAAAGCATATATATATACATGCAATGTACACACACACACACGTCATATTCTTAAGCATATACACATCTACTTATATTGTACAAGTGAAAAATTTCACAATACCAATTTATGCATAATATCTTATGTATATATATAATATGTAATGATACACTTGAATAGTTCAGACAATAATGTTTTACAGGGGAGATTTACCTTGCACACCTTCCTCTCCAAGTTCCAACCAGTAAGTTAAAACAACACGTCTGTACAAAGTTTCTTTGTCGACCGTTTTTTTTTATTGTTATTATTATTATTATTTTTTTTTTTTAACGTTTAGTTCGTGTGAAATATATACTATATACTATATATATATATATATACAATAAATACATAATATGTATAATTAATTAATTATCATCTACCTGTTTTTTTTTATATTATGGCGTGCAATACATTATGTTTGCCGTTTTATTGACTATTCTATTCTTCGCTTATATAAATATATTATATCCTGCGTATACCTATATTATACATGTATTGATCAGTGGCGTAGCGAACTCAAATATTGTCATAGAATTTTTTTCCCAATACCCGCCTCACCAACCAACACTTCCACCCATCGGTCAGTATAAAAACCTTTTTCTTTATCTTTCGCTGAAAAACTAGCATATTGGCAGTAATGTATCAATGAGATTGGGATGGGACGAGATTTTTTAACAGTATAAATAAGATAGAAAAAATTATTATTTTTTTTTTGTAATTCAGAATAGAATAATCTTATAGATAGAATTGTCACAAAATATTTATATTGCCATTTTATTTGGTACGCATGATAAACTTTCATAACATTGTTCATAGGTATAAAAAATATCAAAAGGCTGTATAGTCACACTTTTATAAGTGTTTGAAGTTCAGATTTTAAAAGCGTTCGTCAACAAACTTACGAACATTTAAAATGGTTTTGTGATTAAAAGTATAAAACATTTTAATTTTAGGGTAGAAAATGTAATTTGATATCAATAGTAGATATTTATTTATTAATATAGGGAAATAATAATACATAGGGTGAAAGACAGGTAGGTAGCTCTAAAAACTAATTGAGTACACAACCAAACACTAGTATAATATTATGATTTATGCACTTTGGAATCAAAAATATGCAATACACCGAATCTATACGGATACTTATTTTTTTATGCAGTTATCATGTGGATCAGTGGTTCTCAAAATGTGGTACTCGTTCCCTTTGGAGATACTCAACATTTTTAGGGGGTACGATTCTGGCCAACAAACCTTTGAAATAACCTAGGAGGAGTAGTCAAAAAATTGTATTGGTAAAAAGGGGTACAGTTTCTATACAAGTTTGAGAACCCCTGATGTAGATGTATGTACCTACTATTAAGAAATATGAACATTACAAATTTTATACTCGATTGTTGACCCTCGGTGTTACCAGCTACCACTTAACAATATCGAAATAAAAATATCTTATTGAGCATTACTTTTCCTGCACTTATTATTACATATATCGACAAAAAACAAAGTTACCACCCACCCGTCGCCAGCACCACCCCAAAAAACTCAGATGTGGCCGCCTCTCGATTATCCCCGTCGTCACGCCACTGTATTGATGTATACTGTATAGCCCTATATATATATATATATACGTTTCGCCTACATCACAATATTATATATATATTATTATATTGTTGAACAAAATTTGTTCTCGTTCCTCTTCTTGAGTTGTGCACGAGTAGTGGTATTCTATACCTTAATGTCGGTATATGCGTATTGTATATACTCACGTCGTTTACGTATATAAAATAGTCCTTATTATACTACCTATAATTATTAATTATGATGAAACAGTAGATTAGAGTATGTATTACCCGTAGCGATTTGTATTATATATATATTGTATTGAATATTGCGGATAATTGTATATTTTATCCGATTGTTTGCGCACATGCACCTCCATAATAATAGTGACCTCTGTATGTACTAATAATATAATGGTTGTCTCACCGTGTTTGTCCTCTTACACACCAGCTTACCAACTGTATTAATATATTATTATGTTATGTATGCTAAACGCTATAATCTGCTCACCTCCCGACTCCGACTCAGAACATACACCTCGCTGTGTTTGAGAGTTTAATTGAAATTTCAAATTAGTAATTCGATTTTTAAAATATTTACACGAATTTGCCGCAACAGTATTACTATTACCTCGGGTGTTTAAGAAATAATTATTTAATTTTTTTTTTTACTTAAAGTTAGCAGACAGGTCAAAAATTACTGCGAACACTTAACAATATAGTCTGTATTTAATACACTCCGGTAACATATCCCGTAAAATCTGCAAAAAAAAAAAGGTTACCCACTGGGACAAACGTGGCGAGGCACCCCGTGTAATAAACTACCTAAATACAAAACTATATTATTTTTGAACGGCTCGTACGAAATTCCAATTATTTCGAAGTGAAATAATATATGCCAGCGATACATTATTAAACCGTCATTATATACGATACGCCTCTGTATACATTATACGCGAGTAAGTGAATTACGTGTTTTTTTAGTTGTATTTTTTTTTTCAATAAAATATATAGAATATACCGATCGAATCGCAGTAACGACTTCGGACTAATAATATACATACCTAAATACAATAATAAATCTACACAAGTGTACATATTATAATGTATACATAATATTCGCATATAAACGATTTGGGTGTGCGTGCGCATGCGTGGACACTGTACACACTACACAGGCAATAAGTAGTTGCATATTACTATAAAATATTCTTCTGCATATAATAAGAAGAGCAAATATGTTCGATAAGTCTAAAAATAAATTTCGTGGGGTGCTTAAAAATATGAGTATCGAGCAACATCATAGTTACGTCTTATACTCCGCGAGCTCTGTGCGAGACATGTGTAAAACGGCCGGTAAAGCACGATTGAGCATAAACCTTTTTAGCAACACAATTGAGCATAGAATATTTGATGCCACGATACGTTGTATTTATTTATTATTTTCAAGAATTATTACACCGATTATTTTGATACCAAACTTAAACGAACAATGACACGAGCCCAGGCTTTGTTGAGAATCTTATCGAAAAAACTAGAATTTTATATTAAAGCTTTCGACCAATATTCAAATCGTAAGAATACGAAATCTCTATACTACCTATATTGTATTTAAGCCAACTTGGAAAAATATATATATATGTATATCAATTTAAAAACAGCAAATATGAATACATTAACTTTTATTATTTGTATTTCTTATTATTATTATCGAATAAGTAAATTAGTAGATCTATGAAATTTGACTATTATTGACTACGAAATCATGTTTAAAATATTTTTTGTGAATTTTTCAAAATTGAAAATAGCAAAATCTCATAGTTTCTTATGCGCAATCGTGTAGGTTTTCTATTGTATTTCTATATAATTTGATACACCGACAAATTTGCCCAATCGTGTCGTAAAAAGACGTTTTATGCTCAATCGTGTTGTAGCCAAAATGGCGTGCAAGACATTTATTTACTTATTTTAATTACCTATTCGTCACAAGAACATTAAATCGTATATGTTATACTACTGAGTACAAACAGCGTAAGAGCAAAAATATAGATAAAACGAGTATAAGTGGAGAATGAGGACGACGAGGGGTAGGAGGACTACAACGGCGGCGATTCGAGTCGTTTACGCGAATCAATAATAATATTTTATGATCGGAATATCTTTTTGTTTTCCGCAGAGATAACCTTAGCGGTGGCGTGGAGGAGTGCGTCGAACCGCAGCTACCCGCGATGTTGGCGGACGACGTGTGTCCGTGGGACGTGGCCGACGGTAGCGACAAGAACAAGCGAGCGCTGCCGGCGTCCATAGCCGAAGAACGCGAGCGCCGGCTGTCCACGACGTCGTCGCGCAAGAACTCGGGCGGCGCGGCGTACGATTCGGCGGCGAGCGCGGACGAGAGCCAATCCGATTCGGTGGCCAGCCGTCTGCGGCGGAGCTGCGGTCTGGGTGGCGGCGGCGGCAGCACGGACAGGCGCCGCGGGTCGTCGGCCGCGTGCACGCCGCAACAGACCGTCGACCGGCCGTCGGTGTCGTCGGCCGAGGACTTTGACCTTGGTCCGTCGCCGGAGAGCAGGTCGCCCGAAAAGCAGCCGTCAACGTCACCGCACGAACCGGCCGTGGCCGCGTCTTCACTGGACGACAAGTTGAATAGAAAGAAGCTGCTGAAATCGCTGTCTTTGGCGAGGAAACAGAGCGTGACGCCCGTCATTAACGTCAGCTCGGTGGACAGGGACAACGGGTGTGACCAGACCGCCGCGGACACCGTCGACGAAATAACGTCGGCCGCCACGGCCACGGTGGCCGAAGGTGTCACCTCCACCGCCGGTACAGGAGCTGGTTGCGGAGGCGGTCACCCACCGGAAACCGTAGCTTGCTGCAGTGGAGCGGAGGCGGCCACAGCGACTGCGGCCGCGTCCATCAGCGATGGCAACGACGTGTGTCCTTGGGAAGACGAGTGAGTTGGCCGCGGCGAGCACCTCCTTAGTCCTTCTTGGTATAGTTCCTCGGTGGCGCCTACAATAACTCTCAGGTCCTTGTAAGATCAATCGAAATCATTTTAATGCCACTTTATATCATTTTTTTTCGAAAATACCATGTTTATGGAGTTTTTAAATAAGAATCTACAAATGATATCTTTAAATTTTTACAAATTATAAAATACCCATATTTATTACATTTATTCAAAAGTTAGGACATCAAGACGCATAAATATTACAAGTCAGAAGAACATCGCCTTTTTAAATCCTTGCAGTAAAAAACAGAACCTCTCATTTGAAGAAAAAAGTTTATACCGGCACAAAAAAAGGAAGGGTTGGGTTCGATCTTTGCTTTTACGAAATTCGGCATCACACAGTACATAATATACTAGTTTCTGAGAGGAAAAAACCGTAGGTTCACCGCATTTTCATTACTTTTTTTCTACGAAAACAATGAAAATAATGATATTATAACATCCTATCCTGTGTCCCAAAGTGTCGGGGATCCAAGCGATATTTCTCTGTACATAAATAACAGCCCCTTCTCCATTCACATGCGATACTAATACACATTATATTTTATAATCCATCATAAAATATGCAGAACCCATATTGCATAGTAATGTTTTTTTTTTTTTTTGGTAAATTACGAATGTTTGGTTTTCTTTTTTCTTTTTCAGACACAACCAAGATAAAGGCGGCCGATTTTTAAAGGTGTACGAGACCTACGGTTTTCTCTGAACGTTTTTCTCCAATGCACATTCCAAATTCTATTATACGTTGTGTAAATATACGCATACATTATATACTACTTCTCGTATATATTATTTATATACATATAGTATAAATATATTATATATTATATAATAATAGCGCTCTATCTTAATATATAAATAATAATATTTATTCATCGCCAAACGGATGTTATTATTTTTTTATATTTACTTATGTGCGTGATAAAAAATTATAATATTATGTAACACTCAATAACAAAAATACCCTGTCGAATTTTTCAGACTCAGTCTGTACGTTCAATGTTTGTTTAGATTATAATATATATTACAAAGATATATTCCAAAGATAATCGTAATTTTTCAAATGTAATTAATGTAATATTTAATACATATTACGCGATCGTGAAGGTACCTATATTAATAATGCAATAAGCATTTCGTTAAAATGCTCTAGGTACAATACACGACACGACGCGAGTGCAACACACAAACAATATAGTCATTTATTCGGTGTTTATATATAAATATATAATATACATATATAGGTACCTTATATATGTATATCCAACAGCTGAAACGTACCTATGTATTTTATAATTAAGCCAATAATAATTAGTTACGAATTGTACATCATATTGTATAACTAATAATTTTTTTTTTTTAGTTACTTTTTTCGAATAAACAATTTTATTGATTTACTAAATAATAAACGATTACGTGTACAGCAATATCACAATTTATTTATTCTAATCAATTTAATTCGATTTTATAATACAGTAGATTCTTATTATGTCGAACGTCGATGTCTCGAATTTTCGTTACTTCGAACTAAATCGAAATCCCCTTGAAATTACCATTAGGTACACTAAAATACTACCACAATAGAACTCGATAACTCGAACATTGTTCTGTTCCCCTTGAGATTCGACATAACGAGAGTTTACTATATTAGTGTATTCAATTAACGTAATATAATAATGTCATCAAATTTCAATATTTTATTTTCAAATGTTTTTTATCTGGTACTTGTTTGTAAGAAATACATTTTTAATTCATAAATAACTAAAATTTTACCGCATAAAATCGAGAGCCAAATATGTTAATTCATAACGAAAATAACAATGATTTTATATAATCTACGCGATTGGCAACACCAGGGATGAAAAGGTAGCAAATTATGTTTAGCCGGTTTACTTATTACGATTATTGCCTTTTTAAATAGTATCTATACATGCTATTGTTACGAAACCATATTATAATATAATATGATGAACCAAAATAGTATTTATTAATGATTTGCAGATTTTATTATAACAAACGTTTATTTAAATAAAATTAAGATAGCGATCGAATACAAGCTTATAGGTTCTTAAACGTAGCTTAGCTACAATAAAACCAAAAACTGAGAACAGTTGAGGTTGAGTAAATTGAGCCCATACTCATTTCAACTCTACTTAGTTTTATACAATCAATTATTTGACAAACTCAAACACAAAAACCATTTAAATTTGATATTATAGCAATGCTTTTCGTATTATATTATTATATTATTATATTATAATCTTCGTGTTATTTAATGTTTTGCCACGTTTTACGTAAAAAAAAATCATGGGGAATTATTATATTATTATAGGTAGGTATACTAGATTATTTACACTAATCGCGAAACTCACCCAATATTATATTATAATATACTCTTACACTACGTTTTGGCTTATATTATCCAAAGTGATTTATTAAACATTTATTATATTCTAATTAATATCGATATATATTATATATATTAAATATACTTAATAATTAGGTTTTTAGATTAATATTATTAATACACTAATACTTAAACGTATGTTATTTTAATATCAAAATAATCAACTTTTTTAATATATTCTATATATTAATGTGTTAATTATACGAACATTATGCATCTACATACAATATGTATTTGATTAAGTTATTAGAATAAACAATGTATTATAGTAAGTGTTATAAGTATAGCATTTGTGTATGAGTTTGTCAAAAGCAAAACACAATTTTTTCCAAATTAAATACAACAGAATCAAACCTTTTATTGACATATAAAATACAAAATTTCTTATGGGAACTTATTTTGCTACGGATTCACACTATGGCATGTATTGTAAGTTTATTTATTTAAAAAAAAAAATGAATCATACATTTAAGTACCAGTGTTAAAATATTATGAATTTGTGAATATAATAATCTGTAAAAAAATTATTTATTTATTTAATATTTTGTTTACTAGTTCAACGGTTTTTATTTAGTAAATGTAAGTGCAAATATTTTATTATAATATACTATAATTTAAGTTAAAATTGTGATAAATTGTTTATGGAATTTTTAAGATTCATGTAATAGTTCATAGAAATAAATAACGTATTTATACCAAATAAAAGATATTATATTATAAAATACAAATTTTTGTAATGCGCATACCATTTTAAATGGATTTGTAGACACAAAATTGTGGTTGTTCAATAAATGTAAATTTAAAACTTAAACGAATCGTAATATGCACAAATTACATAGATATGTTACTTAGGTTGCATATCTTGATATAATCGTCAAGTATACAACGACATTCTATACAAAGTTTTAAATACCTAGCCTATTTACTATTTAGGAGAAAATATATTTTATTTTAGTTTACATATTTATTAATGTCTTAGATTTAGTTACGATAGTGATCATAGTTTGTAGGTATAATAACATTGTACCTATTAACTTATTAAATAAATTTAAAAAAATACATATTGTGAACATTTTGTTTTATCATTATTTCATATAATATATTCTTCGTCATTTTTTCTATATCTAAATCTTAATATTACTATGATTGTCATTTTATTCAATACGTACCTACCTAATGTTCATTAAATAAATAAAAGATGCTTTTGCAAAAATATAAAATGGTGTTAAATGTGAACATGATGAAAAAAACCGCACAAGTCTCTTACTATAAATATATAAACCAACCATAACATGGTATATTGGTATATATATTATATTGTATTAAATTGATAAAAAAAAATCCCATTGATTTGTACAAGCAAATATAGACTATAGGTGCATGTACGCACAATACACTATATTACTATAACAATTAACAGTGGTTCTCAATTAGTATTAAGCTACGAACCCCTAATAAAACTTAAATTGGACCGAAAACCCTATTTTATTATATTTTTATGAGAGTTACCCACTTTCTGCGAAAGAAGGCATAATTAAATACGTTTTAATTTTGTTTGACATGAAAACGAAGAAAAATTCTTTACTCGTATGCAATGTCATCAGGGGTCAATAATATCCAACAAATTTTCGGAATGGTCCAACAAATCAAGCTCGACATTTTTTATCAGGGTAAAATTTTTTTGAAACAAAATTGTGCTGTTGACAGCGCAGAAGTGCCTAAAGCTCTAACGACAAAAATAAAGTCCAACAAAGTTTGTTGGATGTATTTCATGTGTCCGTCATAGTTGTTGCTGCTAACTTTGTGAGAATCCATAGACACGCTAACATCGACCCATAGACCCTCACGGACCTCCTTTTGGGAGCCACTAACCACTGCACTATATAATACTATAACGTTATATGTAGGTACGTAAATAGTTACGAACAAATCTCACAGATTTATAATTATTTTCCTTCAAATCTATAGGAAAATCATAAAGATAATTTAAATGAAGATTTTAGACATGAAGTATAAAGGGCATTTTGAGATGGAACCTAAGGATTTATGAATAAAATATAGAACAGATGCTTGATATCGACAGACGACAGAGGATGTTGTGATGGCGTTAATAGCACGCCGTATGGTTACCCTTAAATCATATATATAATCTAAGCCCTAAGGGTTTACCACAGCCCATCAGAAAGGAGGGATTTTTTTTGACAATATTGATCACTGAAAGGAAATACACTACAACGCTGTGAGGTGGAACAAGTGTCAAGAAATAATGAGGCATTATTAACACTAGAACAGCAGACCATCAGTATTTATCATACAAATATAAATAGATTGCGTAGAATCATCCGAGGGACTGACAACATTTTTTTGGACGCACCGCCGTCCACCGGCACCAGCTAGAGGCTGGGAAGACATTTTTAATATACACATAATTAACAAGTGTTAAGTTAAAATTATGTTATCAATTATAGTTTGAACAAAAAAGTCCTCAATACAAATTGATAATCAAAAAAATGTGCAATATTCAGTTAATGTGATAAAAATAAAATAAAATCGAAATTAAAATCACTCATTGTTTTGCTTATAATTTTGAGTTTAGGTCATTATTCTCTCGAGTATTCAATAACAAATTGAAAAAATGTTAAAATCATAGAAGATTTTAAGAATGAGATGTAGCATTTTTTATGGGCAACGAAGATCACATGGACAGCTAGTAGGTAGGTACCCATATAAATGATAAATATGGAATATATTGTATCAATGCTCATTACTTGGTACTTGGTGACACGAGCATTATATTATTTGGCTGATTATATTACTATGTTATAGCCAATAGGTGTTATATTATTATAATTGTTTTGTATGCCGGGCAGGTGAAGAACTGATCCCATAATCCCATAGAATTCAGTGGTTCCCAACCTTTTTGGTACTATGGACCACTATGAGAACTTTGGATACGTCACGGACCACCTCAATTGTATACCTTATTTTTCTTACAAATAAGAATCAATTTTTTTTCACATATTTTAGAATTTTGATTATTATTACATGAATATGAGGCTTTTAATAACATGGATTTCACTATGTAATATAAATTTATAAAGAAACGACGTACTATACACGAATGTCAGTAATTAGTGTTATGCCTCAAAGGAAAATTAAATTATTAAAATATTTTTACATTTTGTAAGTATGGCTCGCGGACCACTTGACAATGTCTCGCGGACCACTAGTGGTCCACGGACCATAGGTTGGGAACCTATGCCATAGATACATACAACATAAATATCTATGTATTAATGTATTATGCATAATCCTTATCATGTCTTATCAAAGCAAAACCATGACAGTAGTATTGATAAACAAACTTGTAGCTACTAAAATATAAGATAAGAGAGTTGTAATAAAAAAAAGTTAAGATTTCAAAATATAAAACTCAATGATCCAAATTAAAGTTTATAGACATTTTGAAGGTATAATAAAGTTTTATTGTTTAATTAGTCGACTTTCTTTTCAACCAAACAACTAACAACGATCAACCAGCTATCCACAATGGACATTACGATGGTTGACTGCTTGAATAGTAACATGGTTAGACAATTTATGTGTGCAACTCAACTTGCAGCAATCAACTTCAAAGTAAAAGTAAAAAAAATTATTTGATAACCTCATTGATTGATTTTCTGATTTAATTTTTTGTATTACAGAATATTTTAAAAGAAGTTAATTTTATATTAATGATCCTGTCACATCCAATGTTGCAGAAATACCCACTGAAAACTCTGTATATCAGTAGATTTTTGAAAGCAATTATAAGTCAAGTATGGAATAGTAAATAATAAGAGTGTATCATAACCTTATTTCTGATCTAATGTTGAAAATTAATTTTCAATAAGATCTTGGTTTAAAAAACTAATCTTTAGTCAATATCTATATTATATTATTATTATTCTCTTCTTCAAAAAAACTTTACTCCATTGTGGTTTGAATAAATTCATTAAAATTTGGTAGTCGAGTTACTTTCGACTTTTTAAAGAATCTGAAGCTTTTAATATATAATCTGTGTAAATATTTGATAAAATCAGCTGAATTAGAAGCAGTTTCAGATTTTAATTCTTTTACAAAATACAGATTAGAATAGTCAAATACAACATCTTATGACTAAATATTAGAGCAGCTAACTTAACACACATTTTGAAAAGAATTTGGTTTCATGTGTGCATCTTTAATTTTTAAATATACCCTGCTCTTTAATATGTTTTTTCAACTGTCATATGACTTATGTTTGTACAATGTCATAAGAAGATATTAACATTTTTAATTTTTTGAAAATTTCCAATGAAATCATTTTAGGGATTATTTTTTATATTTTTATTATGTTGAATAAGACACTTTTTTTACGTACACAAAGAAAAATAACCAGTGTATTTAGACCATTTTGGTTATTACCTAGTTCCTTGATCACGTATAATAAGTTTTGGAAACTAACCATAGCAAATAATTCTCTAAAATACCAATCATAAGCATTTTTAAAATATTGCTTTTGCAGCTTAATTGTAAGCAACTGAAATCCATCATGAAGTATAAACTCCTCCTGCAGTCCTGCCATTAATTCTAAAGCAATATTAACAATTTTGCTTGTTCTTCCAAGATCTTCAAATCCTTTTATGAAATCAAAATATTTCAAATACTTATGATATTGCCTATTTTGGTCACTTATTTATTGGTAGATACTGATTTCATAAATTTTTATATTTTTTTTAATGTATTCGTACATTTTTTATTTGCTTATAACGAATGGTGAACTATTATGTATTTGTGTTGTGTATTAAATAAAATTTATAATTCTTAATTAAAATAAATTACTTTTCAGATGGAAAATAGTGGAGATGAATTGTGTGATGAATTATATTTAAAATATGTTCAGCTTATTCAAAATGAATCTAATGAAGGACCTTTTTATAAACACTATATACTTGATAATAATATTAGTAACAAGTTAACCGAGTCTGTCATAACCATCCAAGAAAGTACCAGTATTGTTTCGCAAGGAACTACAGGACTCTGCACTTGGCAGGTCATATTTTATACATTATTTTATAATTTAACAAATGTATTGTTGTATTACTTAAACAGCCATAACATTTATTTCAGGCAGGTATAGCACTAAGCTGTTGGTGTTTGAAAAATCAGGATATACTCAAAGGCAAATTCATCCTCGAGTTGGGTTGTGGAACAGGGTTGAGTGGAATAAGTGCATGTATAAATTGTAGTCCAAGCGAATATTGGTTTACAGACTGTCACTCAGCCGTTTTAAACACCTTACAACATAATATACAAATTAATGCAACTCATCACAAATTCAATTGTAAATTTGATGTTGTTAAATTATCCTGGAACGATATAGAAGATTTGAAAATGTTTGAAGAGAAAAAACCAGATTTGGTTCTAGCAGCTGGTAATTTAAATCTACAAAATCACCCACATACGTGATGATTTATAATAAATCATTTTTTAGATGTGATATTTGATGATACTATGTTTGAACCATTATGTAGTTCGTTGAGATATTTTACAACCAATAATACAACTGAAATTATACTGTTTTGTACATTGAGAAATTCTGAGACTTATATAAAATTCCTAGCAACCCTAAGTAAGAAATATGTTAATATTTACTTGTTTTTAAAATAAGTTAAAATAATTATACATAATGCAGAGGTAAAGTATTTTAAATATTTCATTTTTTTCAGAAAAGTACGACCTACAGTTTACACAAAGCGTTTTACCAGAAAATTACTCAATAGTGTTACAACAAGATTGTCCAATATATATAATAAATGTAAAACAAAATGCGGTCATGTCTAAATAAGATATATTATAGTTAATTATAAATCATTGATACAATGGTTATATTAAAAATAAATATTTCTTTGAACTCTTCCTCACCACACATACTGAACTTAGATCAGCATTTTATTTATTTTTAAATGGTTCATTATCAGAACTAATTTTTGGATGATATCGTCTGAATTCTCCAATATCAATGTCTTTTTCTTTCATCGCTTTCTGAAATTATAATAGATATTGTATGTTAAAAAAAAAATATATTACACAAACACTACTCTAGAAATCAATGAAATATTGGGAAAGAATATAACAATAGACTATAGTGGTTCTACAGCATAAAACTAGAGTGAACATGTAGTATTTTCCATATTTGTTTGAAGTGCCCAAAAGATAAGTGTGTCAAAAATCTGTTTCACTTACAAAGATATTTGGTTTTGGGATATTTTTTTTTTTATATAAACATGTATTTCTAGTATTTTTATGGAATGTAAATTTCAACATTTCATTTGTTTTTAGATGGTTCATAATTGGAATTAATATTTGGACTAAATGGTCTGAATTCTCCAATATCAATGTCTTTGTCTTTCATCACTTTCTGAAATAATAAATCAATATTCTATGTAAAAAAAGTTGAATGGTGTGAAAATATTTGTGGTATAAATAAGCAATAATATAAAATTTATCTAAAATTTTTGAAAATTTCAGGTTAATAAAACCCATAAATAACTTGAATTCCAACAAAAAAATAACTAAAATTGTTATTGTTCGTTTAAACACCTATCTTCATTCATCAAAAGTTGAACTTCAAATACTTATACAAATATTGAGTGTGTGTATCTTAAATATTTTTAAATAGCTATGATAACAATCTATGAGAACCCTAGTAATACATTTTCAAACTTTTTGACCAAGCAAAAAAAAATTTCAACTATATTTATGAAAAAAAAACTATTTTTTTTTTAAGAAAAAAATCAATTTTATCAAAAAATGGTTTTGCCTAAAAATATTTGTTTTTCTCAATTATTAAAAAAAGTACTAGCAATAGTTACTTTTAACACAATAAGACCTAGAACTAGAAAAGATATTGAAGTTTAAAATCAAATAATTTTTCCTTCTTTAAAAAGTATCATCAACCAACAAAAAAGAAATATTATAAAATCAATACATTCATTGCCCTGCTCAGAATTTAAAGATGTATACAAAGAAAACTACTCTAGACTACAATTTAAAATTGAGAAATAATAGATTTATAATTAAGGTAAGGATGTTGTAGGAGGATTTTTCATATTTTTTGGTGAGGCTAAAAGATAGATAGAATGTTTGATAGAAATCTGTTTCACTTACTGGGTATTAGAAATTTTTTATTTTAATTTTGCAAATTTTTAAGATTTTGAAGGTAAATGTATATGGCATTTATCAATTTATTTAAAAAAATTTTGGTATGATTTGTGTAATAGACTATAGTTAACAAAATTAATCAATTTTGTTTAATGCTATTCATCATCTGTGGCAATTACAACCAGTGATATACAAGAACAATTAATAATTTGACTGTTTAATTGATTTGGTTTTGTAGTAGAAAACTAAGAAAATTATAAATACAAATTTTAAACGCATTTTTTTTTACCAATGCATATTTTAAGTTTTTTATTGAATAAATGCATCAAGGTCCCCTGCAGCGGTAACGGTAAAATGAGTCCGGACACAATTTACCGCTACCGCCAAGACAAAATAATTTTACCGCTGCCGCTGCAGTGTGTGGGGACCTTAACGCAACATTTTTAATAGTTAATTTTTGAGTACATTATTACATTTTTGCTGCAGGTACTTGAGCAGTATACTACTTTTGAAGACATATTTCATAGTTTTTTAAGCATATAAATCCTAACTATAAGATATATCTTATTTAAACATAAATGTAATTAGGTTGAAAATTGTACAGCTAATAACATAGTTGTTAAAAGGACGCTATACCCGCATGTGTTGTCTCTGTCTTACAAGAGCGTAACATATCAAATTTTACGTTTAGCTCAGTTAGCTTAAAAATTAGAGTGAATTGACCTCTTATTAAAATTAAAGGTAAGATTACTAGGGAGAGCTTCTAGTGGGCTTTTTATTATATTTTAATTTTAAAGAGATTTATTAGTATTTAAAAATTGTAAATTGTTTGACCATCCTAAAATACTCATAACTCTTTTGAAAATTAAAATATAATAAAATGCCCATGAGCAGCTCTCTGATATAATCTTACCTTTAATTCTAATTTTTAAGCTAACTGAGCTAAACGTGATCTGCTGAACGTAAAATTTGATATGTTACGCTCTTGTAAGACAGAGACAACACATGCGGGTATAGCGTCCTCTTAATTCCAAATATATTTAATGCATTTTGAACATTAAATAAAAATACTGTTGCTAGTGAATTTTTGATACTATTATTTATAAATATTGAAAGATATTATATAATAGTATAAAACACAATTAATTATAATTTACCTTGACACAGCTAGTGTAATTCTTCAAAAGCTCCGAACACACAGAGTCATCGTTACTTCCTTTAAGAAATTTATCCCTGAACCAAGCATTAAAACACTTGTCATATTCTTTTTTAAAAGATTTGCATTCATCCATAGAATTTGAGTCATTCCTATAATATAATTGAAATAAAATAAATTTCCTTCAGGCTAACTATAAACTGATCAAATGTTTTATCACATAAATGATCTTGGTGGGTATCCAGGCTAAAACATAGTGAATTTATTTATAGGTAGCATGCTTAAAAGTAAAATTTAATCCACTGTTAAAAAAAACAATCACTATAAATTAAATTTATTTTAAATTAAAACATGAAATTAAAATATTTTAAATAAATGCCACACATACACTAAAGTAATTTATATTTTATAAAATAACTATTGTACACTACACTTAAAAATTACCAATAATTGTCTTTTATTGTCATTAAAAAAATGTAAACATATGACTAGGTACAACTGTATATTGTCATATATAAAACGTAAAAAATACATAAGCCACTAGGAATCGGGTTAGGAATTGTATATTAGATATTGGGTTCACATTATATTATTATCAAAGAAAACACCAATGTGTTATGGGTGCATTCTGTAAATACTTTAGTTGTATAATAATATAAAATCTTACTAGGTTTACTTAACATACCATCAAAATACAATTTTTAATACCAATTTTTTGTATTGTATTGTATTGAATTATTTATTCATAAATACTAAAAATCAGAAGTGAGCAATTATTAATCATTAAAATTATCAATCCAAACCAAATTTGTAATTTTTCAATAAGGGTTCTAGAGAGAGTAAATAAAACCAAAATAAAAGAATATAGGAATGTATTGGCTTATCTGCGTATTTTATTTTACTATGGACTTATTTGAACATACAAGTAGTATTCATAGTCTAGTTGGTAAATTGATTTTGGATTGATTACCTAATGACCAAGTTTATATTGGTTACTATGAAATATCACAGAAAATATCCTTCCCAAATTTTTTTGGTGTGAAAGAAAATTTTTCGGTTTTATTTGTTTTAAATGTTTTTAATAAACCTAATATAATATGAAATTTTTTTTTCGGTTGTACAGAATAAATTTCTAAATATCTACATAAATATAATAAATTATAGGTGTATATTTTTTATCATTGTCAATTTGAAATAAAAGGACTATTCGGCTAATAAAAATACTAAGTAATTTTTAAAACAAGTATTATAATAATCACAATATTTAACAAAAACACTTAGCAAATATGGTACGGTTTAATAAAATAAGTCTCGACAAATGCACATATTAATATCTCTTTGACATTATAAAAAAGTACTAGGTACTCTATGAATAATAAGGAGCACTTAATAAGGTTTAAAATAAATGAAGTAAAAATATAATAACTTAAAGATTTTCTAGATAAAATAAAATTAATGATTGATAAAAAAAAAGTTAAATGTTACAAAATATTGATTTAATAAACAATTAGACATAAGAAAAAAACAATTTTAAATTATTAAAGTGAGGAGGAAATGTCTACATTAAAAAAATGTGTCAGTGGAAAATGTCCTACAATATCGATCATAATTTGTGGAAAGGTGATTGAAAATATATAAGGTTCACACATTTTAAAATATTATATCAATGCCTATCTACAATGTAGCAAGTCTCAAATTAATTGATAATCATTGATATGTGTTATTTAATTGTATTAAATAATGCATAGATTTGAGTTAACTAGTTTATGCAAATAAGTGAAGTAAAATAATAAGCAAACAACTAACTCACCCGATTGGGTTGAAAGTATAGACAGACTTTTTTTTTAAAACTCAAAGAGGGATTTCTTCAGTCTTTAGGATAATGTACGTTTGATTGAGACACTATAGTATTAATTATTAAAACATTTCAATAGAGACAATAGAGTAAAAATTATAGAATTATTGAATTTAAAATATTAAGCAGATTGGCCAATTTTTCATTTCATTGATAACCAGACTTAACCACGGTTAAAGATACCATTATCTTTTAGGAATTAAATAATCTGATCATCATCGCCCTAGGTTATTAAATTTGTCATTTCTATGGTTGTTACCACTGATAAAGTTAACCTAAAAATGTGACCATACATATTCTTAGACATGATTGGTACATTTTTTATACGTTGTTTACTAATTTTACTATTTAGTCATTTAGTATCATTTAATATTTATCAAAAATCAAAATATATCAAAATAAATGGCAACAGCCGATGATCCAACATTTCACTTATCGTTTTCACTGGTAATTAATGGTTCGGCAGCGAAATAATTACTTGAGTTGGATTTTTAGGTAACTCAGTGTTCACGTCGCAATGGCCACTCCGACTAGCGGTAATGGCAATTTGGTGGACGAATTCGACGAAGCGTTCATGTCACTTATCGAAATAATATCAAAAGAAGAAGAGACGTTCTCGCCGGTTGACAAAGAAGAAGTGCGTGTGGACATAGATCAGTGTACCATGAGATTCATCGACATCGCTAGACAACTGGAGGCGTTTTTCCTGCAGAAACGGTTTCTCTTGTCGGCCCTGAAGCCCGAACTAATCGTTAAAGAAGATATATCCGAATTGCGTGTGGAGTTAGCGCGTAAAGATGATCTCATTCGGCGGCATTACGATAAAATCTCCATCTGGCAAAATCTGTTGGTTGATTTACAACAGGTGGCCAAATCGCCTGCACAGAGCTCTATGGGCCAGAGTCCTATGCCAGCACCGATGCCATCTCCCTTGCCAATTGGACCGCCCCAACAACAATTATCGCCTCAAGTACCTGGAGGTATGGTTTCGCCGCAACAGGCCATGTTCTTACAGCAGCAGCAGCAACAGCAGCAGCAACAGCAACAACAACAGCAAAGGCCTGGTCCAGTGGCTGGTGGCCCGATGCCTGGGGCATTGTTACAAGGACCTTTGGCATATTTGGAAAAGACCACCAGCAATATAGGAATGGGTGATGGGAGGAGGTGACGAGGTCGGGGACGAGGAAGAGGACGCGGTAGGGCCCATCTTAGTCCCCCTTGACCACAGGCAAAGGCACAAAATTGTTGCTTTTAAGCCGAACGAATTGCTACAAATAATCCTACCAATTATTTTGTGAAAGTCACTTGTACACTACTGTAAATATTTTGTAACACTGTAAGTTGTATATAAACTGTATATTTATGTTTTGATATTGTATAATATGTTTGATATAAGTTGTATATTATTTTGTTTTATTATTTATTCTTAAAGCTGTAAATACTAATTGCTTCACTATACTTTGTAAATGTCAGAAATTATATAATATTATGTAATGTATTTGTTTTGCTTATTTTTTTAGTTCATTGATTATATATATTTTTATAGTATGGTTAGGTAATTCAGTAATGACCTCTATCTAGCACTTTTGGGGTTAACGCTCAACACTCATCAGTTAAACCAAAAATGTAATCAAAAGGTGTACGCCATTCAATAAAAACCGGAGTAGTCTTTTATACGTTTTGGATGTACCTCGCCATTGAGTAATTCACTGTAATAGAAATTTTAAATATGAATTCAATATTGTGTTCAATTATTATACCAAAAAATTCAGAGGTATATTGTGAAAAGTGGTTCTGAGCCAGTCTAAATTTATATTGCTACTCATTTTTATTTTTCTGAAAATATTTTATTGCTTGAATGATAAAAATAAATAATGACAGGAATAAAGTGTAGGCACTTCAACATAACAAAAATTAATTAATAAAATAGCCATACTAATAATCTAATAGTAATAGTACAGTTAAAATAATAAGTCATAGTAGTCAACTCATAGCTGAAACTGAAAGTGATTTACATTTTTTTTATATATGATAAGCTGGTCACTACCACTCGTTTAAGCATTTTTGGGGGCTTTCCTGTAATAGTTGGGATGGTGGGTTGGTTTGCTATTAAATCACCTATAGTTTAGTTCTTTTGAAGTCAGAGTGATGGGTATTGTTGGAAACGTAAAATGGAGTATCTACGATGAAGGACTTTGGATTGAAAACTTTGTAGGTGGTTAGTAGGTAATTTTACAGTTGTTAAAGTCAAGACGAACCAAGGTCATTAAGTGATCAATTTTTTTATGTAAGTTGAAGATCAATGTTAACCCCAAAGCAACGTATACATTAGGCAGCAGGAAGGGGTTGATTGTTTAGGAGGTGTGTCTGACTCTGGCATACTGCCTGCTTAAATCTGAAAGTACAATTGATGGATTTTATCTCATAAATGTTTACCCCTCATCCTTGGAGAAAGATGAACTTAGTGGGAGGCTAGGTAAGAATTTTTGTTGCAGGTTAAAACAGCTTTATCATCATCACTTCATCAGTCATCAACAAGAGCATGGGACGATGAAGGCTGATCTGATATATTATAGGTTCAAAGGCAGGAAGGTTGTGGTCTGACTATGCCTTTGAGTTAATTATAGGAGGAATAGAAAAAGCCAAAAATGGGAGACTACTCTTACTGAGAAGAGCCAATTTTGTATAGATATGATTTTAGGTTTAGAATGTTCAGATAGAAGTGACTGGCATAATAGGCTTAAAGTTTTTGTAAGAGATGCACGTGGTAGACATCATCAAAAACCTGGGACATAGCTACTATAAAGTAATTAATTTTTTTATTATAATATGGTACATTGAACTAATTTTTTAATTACATCATATTCTGTTTATTATGAGTCAGTACTGCTACAATTGATCAGTGAGAATAAGTTTGTTGCATTAATAGCATAATCACAAAATTGTTTGGGGATAAATCATTATAAAAAATGAATGAGACTTATGCTACCCATGATGATTAATACTATTGATTACCATGAAACCCCGTCAATAAATATAAAGCGGTTTTGATATTTTCAATATAACTTAACCTATACATGGTTAATAATATCGATTGTGTATGGGCAAGTTTAATGCTAAACTTATTTTCTTGGAAAAAAGCTGATGAATCTTGTATTAAACTTTCAAGATCTTTGACCCCTTCAGAGGGATAACTTACTAATAAAGCTATTTTCATATGAATACAAAAATAATTAAAACACTTTCACTAAAAACTATGATTATGTTTATATTATTCAAAATTTTAAAATATAAACAAATTTGTATTTATCCTCTTATGTTTCATAAAAAAATAAACAAAAAATATAATCTACATAAAAATTTAAATGTTTATATCCATCTGCATCTATTTACAAAACTGTATCTAATTTATAATTTATAAAGAAAATATTATATTTCTAGTTATCTGGGCTGAACACTGGAAATGAGAATCTACTATTTGGAGAAATATTTGTTTTTAAATAAAGGTAATAGCACAAATAATGAACAAGCAGTTTGCATTGTTCACTGACACATGTCTTTTTTCTGTTTGTTTTTATTTTATCCAATAACAAATATTGTAACATATTATTTTTTATTTTCGGTAATAAAAAAAAAGTCCTATAAATGTAGGCATGTAGCGCATGTGCATAAATAAGAAAAAAATATTAAACATTGATTTGAAGAAAAGTGAATTCATTAGTCAGTTCTTTCTGTTACACCCCTTATTATAAGTAATTTTGTGGTAATGTAATTACATGTTATTGTATTTAGTTAATACATAAATAATTAAGAACCAATTGATAATATATGTAATAATATATTAAACAGTTACAATTTTCTGACAGCAACATTTTTATAATAGCTGTTTAACGAAAAAAATGTGTGTAAGAAGTAGTCATTTGGAAAATGCTTTATTTAAAATACATTTAAAACAAAGAATAGTAAGTTATTTAATTCTTCATTGCTTCTCAAATAAACATTTAAATATTCAATATAATCCCATGTTGTTGATTGTCATTACTTAGTTAATGAATTGATAACATAATAGCTTCTATGATTAATTGTAATAAAGTTACTTTTTTCACTCAAAAGTAATGTGATTTAACTTAACAAAAAAAAAATAAGTTCAAAATGATTTAATAACCAAAAAAAGTAACTTCCCAGTTAGACGGCCCAGAGTATATTTCACTGGTAGACCAAATTATTTCGTCAGTAAATAAGTGGAAATATGTTCATTTACAGATTATTTGTAAACAAAAAGGCAGAAAGCATATTATTTATTCTTTATAATTTAATCAATGATTATACTTTTAAATATATTTATTATTATTATGTATCATAATCATTTACAGTAACACACATTTATATTGTTTACCTCAAACGTCTGAGGTTGGTTATGGCACTATAATTACAAAATATAGGGCCTAATACAAAATACATTCATTTGCTTAAATCTTAAAATTTTATACAATTGGCCATCATTTCATTAAGTGGTAACCCATGTTAATATTATAATTTATTATTTATAATATGGAATAGACTTTCAAAATCTTTTAAATGTATTATAATAATATAATATAATAAAGTAATGTATAAACACTGTAATTTGAATTAAAAAATAAATTAATAGTTACAACACTTAATGACATACAAACACATTTAAATTTTTAAGATCTAAATCTAACGAAGATAATGAGAAAAAATTGATTTTCACACAATCAATCATATAATATTAACATGATCGTCATCAATAATACAGCTAATTTAAAATTGTCCGAATGAATAAATTAAATGGCATCGGACCATAAATCAGTCTAGAAATATAAACATTTACAGTACAACATAGATAAATTAAGTATAAAATATATAACAATGACAATGACAATTATTTTTAAATAGACAACACGTTCCACATCGCAGGTGGTTAATGTAATACTTGAATGAATAATATACAAAAAATAATATTTCAGCACCTCGTCAATGAACCGCAATGATAAAAATTCTTTATTAATTTTTTTCAGAGCGTAGTTACACTGGCTTGGAACATTGTATGTAATAAATCTTGAGAAAAATAATCGATGGTATAACTTAATAAAATTATATAATATTAGTCCTTAACAGTACAGATAAAATAATAATTTAAAGAATTGTGCGATTTAAAATTTAAAATAATAATAAGTTGATGAGCGCTATTGACAAAAATGAAGGAGGGGCAGTCGTATATAATCGAAATAAGTTGTGCGCGTTAAGTAAAAATACGTTTACACGCAGAATAAAATTTAGTAACATTTTTATGAGGTTTTCAATTAAAAAAAATCATGGTAGGTCTATTAAGACCTAAAAAAAAACGAAAATGTTTAGGAAATGAAGACTGACGACTGCTTAGTAATAGTAGCAATAAAAGTAGTAGTAGTAGTAGTAGTAGTAGTTGTAGTAGTAGTAATAGTAGTAGTAACTTTGGGACAAAATCGGAGAGGCAAGGTTAACACACCACCATCCCTCGTGCAGTTGCTAAGGGACTACTTCCGAGAGAGACAGATGCCGGGGACATAGAAGTCATTAGCGGTGTACCACAAGGATCGGTCATTGGCCCTATCCTCTGTAACATACTTTCTGCAGATGCGGGCGATGGGCTAGAAGACTCGCGGAACTCGAGGCCACAGTAGGAGAGGACATCACGCCAGAGTCGATCATACCTATCATGCAAAATGGTCGAGAGAAATGGGAAGTAGTTAAACGGTACGTCAAGAAAATACCAAGGAGGAGGTAGAGTTCCAAAGACGCGCCAATGGATCATAGTACGGAACTACAAAGGACTACAAAGGCGGCGGCGGCGGGCTGGCTAGCCGGCCTGAGAAAAGGATAAGCTACGACCCGAAAAATTAAAATATGTAGGTTGCTAAGCAAGTTTGTACTGTATGTATTGTAAGTTGAAAACTGTAGTTTATTGTAACATACGATTGCGCACGATGGCGGACCGGCGGGAATGCAAAGCATAGGCAGTTCTCCCCCGGTTCGACGATACCAAGATAAAAAAAAAAAAAGTAGTAGTAGTAGTAGCAGTACTAGTAGTAGTCGTTGTTGTTGTTGTTGTAGTAGTAGAAGTAGTAGTAAGTAATGGTAGAATAATACATGAAGTGGCGTCCTTCGGTCAGAAGCGATACTTGGTCTGGGGCGATCGTCGGTGTGTGTCGTCGCCCTCAAACGTTTCTCATCCACCGGTGCCGGGCGTCCACCGGTCGAACTCTATGCCGCTGTCCGGACTCTGTACGGCCGTGGACAGCGGGCTCAGGTAGCTGGACGTCGACGAGCCCGTCGAGTTGGCCGACTGCTGTTTGGGCTGCGTCCGGGCGTCCATCAACTGCTTCTCGAACGAGTGCAGCTGCTGCATGAAGTGGAAGTTCGGGTCGATGTTCGCTTTGCGCTTCAGCACCATGTTGTACGCTTCGTTCAACGACAGTTGCCGATGGGCCATCAGGTACGCCAGCATCACCGTTACGGAACGCGATATGCCCGCCAAACAGTGCACCAAGACGCCTTTTTTCTGCGCCCGACTCTTATCTGCAACGAACAACCCAACAAATTGTGTTATTATTAGGTATAATGTACACGTGGATTAAAATACTAAACAATAATTGGTCATTATTATTATGTATTCCAGAGACTCGGCTGAATTTGCGATCGAGTGAAGGGTCGGAGGGTTGCTGGAAAACAATATTGAAAAGAAATAATTCATCACTTCAATTTACTAAGAAAACATTATACCTCACAACAACTTTTAAAGACAAACATCGAAATATTTATTGATGTTTCAGTTGAAAATCTGAATATGCGATAATGATGCGGAAACATTGTTTTCGACGGTTACTTGTTTTGAGCTTGTTTGTTGTCCAAAAAATACATACCTATATACCTCAGACAAATTACCTACACACGTGCATTCTAATCATTGCGAGTTGCATTACCCAGTCGGTTATTTCTTTAAAAATGTGTGTTATACAACACAACTTTCAACCCTGATAATAATAATAATAGAAGTCATACTCTGCGACGTCTTGCAAATAATTTGCAAATGCAAACAACCGCCCACGGCCCACCTACAAACGCGACACGGCGGTCGATCACAATCAACACCAATAATCACGACCAACCACGTGACTCCTGAAATATATACACGCGAGTACTTAAACGCCTGTAAGAGGTATATATTTAAAGGCAAGTGTTACCTGTTAGTTGTTACCATGGATTCGTCGGCTTTATTACACGTGGTTATTTTCGTACTTAAGCAATTTCACCCACGTTGGTATAGTAGCGCCCCCGCGTCACGGAAATAGTGGTAATTATTATTATATCACAATTCACAATATACATGTGGCATGTGTGCATAATATAATAATACTATACTTAATGGTTGAATTCGCAGATATCGCTATTTCGGTCGACCCGGGTAAGAACAAACACGCATCAAATACAATATTTAACGACTGGTGTAGTGGTGTGTGTTTTTACTATTAATTATTATTTATTACTTTATAGTTTATTAGCATTAAAATTGATTGTTTCCGTAGCTATTATTGAAAACCCACATCGATTACGGACGGATGTGGCACCTGTTTGTTTTCGACGACGATAACAAAATACAATAATATACACACTACGAACCAATTACGCGGGTCGTGTGTACGCCGCCGTCGACACACGATTGTACGAATATACAATTCCTTATCAGTTGTCTATACCTAATACCTATTAATACTAAGGTCAAATAGGTAAAAACCAAGAGTAGGTGAACTTTACTCCCGGCGGTATTTTTGATACACCGGTAATTACCGGTGTTAAAATGTTTAATACCAAGCGCCCTATAGGCTGGATGTCGCGCCGTGCCGCCGTTAGGATGTTGAATTCAATAGACTATTGAGCAACATTTTATTTAATTATTGGTGGAAATGATATTAGACATTAGTTAAATAATAATAAATATTTTACCTAAATTACTCTGCATGAATAGTATTCGGAACTTAAATGTTCAGTTTACAAGACAAACTGTAAGTTGTACGTTGTAAGTGTTATATACAAAATTAATAGCAAATAATGATTAATTTCCAATATTTTGTTAATATACATTTTTATTGAATTCGTGGCTTAGCAGTTAGAACTAAATGCCAATTAACTGTTACCTATGTTTAGGTCTATTATGAAACGGGCGTTCATTCAAATTGATTAGAATGTACAAGTACGAATTCATTTGATACAATTTTTTGTAGTAAAATAATAATTTATCATTATTTTAAACTTAAGATGTTTGTAAGATCCTATAACTAAAATATTGAAGGCAGTAAAAATAACAATAATAAAGACCGTGTAATTAAATTTCTTGTCTTATTCTTTTGTAAAAAACATGTTTGTAATTCAGTTATTAACAACGTAAATGTATCCAGATCACACACATTAAGGTTTCAAATAATTTAACTTGGAATATTATCATTAAACGTTAAATGTTTAAGAACCACTAAGTACTTGCGTAGCCGTGTGTACACGCACGGAGGAAATGTTATTAAATGGCACGACTAAAAAGCACCGTGAGAAAATCAACACACTTGCGGTGGTGGCGGTGCGTTTTAGCTTCGGTTAAAAAAACAATGGGCAAATCTAAATCTAAGAACGCATTGCGCAATCTTTGTTATCTTTATTCGAAGAATTGCCCACACTCACGGACAATGGACATAATATAATATATTTATATATAATATATACTATATATTATATAAATACACATCCGGTAAATTCACTGAGACAGCTCTACCAATATTATGTACCCATTCATTCAAATTTTGATTTTTGGAAAAAGTACTTTTATAAACCATCTGTAATAAAATATAATTGGATATGTAGGGAATTAAAAAAGGATTTTTCGGGATTTCCCGATTTTTCATAAAACATAAAACTATTATAAATTATGTTTTCAAATTTATATTCTTTAGACTTATAGTATTTTTCTATTGCAGTACTTCCTACTTCTAGTAATTGTTCTACGTGGATTACTACAACTTGCAAGCAGAAGACACGCGAATTAGGTTTTGAAATTTTTAAAAATTATCCTAGTTTTAACTTGATTGACAAGTTAACAACGTGCTTTAACGGAAATTAAAGCAACGACTAACGGCGTCCGTATTCAACGTACTCAACGTACTAATCTCGAGATAGCATAAATATAAAAACTATTTTTACAAGCTGCCCAGTGCACACGGTATTTAGTACTTGAGCATTTAAGCATATGTAGATGGCTTACGGGAAAATGAAAACGGAAATATCAACAGGACGTTACGCGTACAGGAAGGCGGGAATCCGCTACGAGGTATAATAATAACATATATTACGTACGTTGCGGCCATTGTGTATGGACGCGACCGACTGCCGTGCTATTGTGTAATTTTTTTAAATCCATTTCCGTCGTATATCATTATTATTATTAATATTATTGTTTGAAACTGAAGAAAAAATATTACGAAATAGGTAATATCATTAAAAAATCAAACCCGTACCGTACATAAGATGTATTTTACGTATATAAATATAGTATATTGTATAATATTGTATACATTATTATTTATTAGGCGTATATCGTATAAAATATATGAATAAGGAACGTACAACAACGATTTCTACTGAAAAATGTATTCAATGTATACTGGCCCTTAAAAAATAATCTGAACTGCCTTGAGGCTCGGCAACTATTGGTACACATGCATATTTAATTCACCATTGCGTACACATCACCGTCTGCACTCGAATCGTCAAAAACTCAATAATAATATGAATTTTTCAAGAGATCCGGGGAACCATGCAAAGTTCTGTACTCACTGACGTCAGACGACGACGGGAGAGAGCAGTGTAATGGCGTCTGTTTAGTTTGTCGAAAATGTTTATTCGATGAGACAGCGGCCGGCGGGAGATTAGCTCGATAAAAGCGCAACCACATTGAAAAAAGTTGTGGACAAATCTATTGTTACACGGCTCTGGCAAGACACAAACATCCGCAAATGCTTATCAGTTATCATCATGAAATATCTTTCTCGTTTAAAATCCGTCCAACTCAACGTTGCTGAAACAGACTACCCATGACGTATGACTTCGTCTCGTCAATTCATCACCATCATCGTCATCATATTGTGTTTCGAAATTTATCATGACTATTATTCATTATTATTAATTATTCATTTTTACTTACTCGCACCCAGTGGCGCAAATAAACAGCCACTACTCGCGCCGTCGATTGCCTACACGGCTCTACACACACTCCTCACCGGCTACCAAATACGATTATATAATACTACATTAAATATTATCATGTATAAGTGTTATGATTAGTCAACAACCAAATGCATATAATATATAAAATCATAAAAATAATAACCCGTTATTTTTTCGGAACGACAAAAATACGTAAACCGCGAAAACTTTATAAATTGTATCCGTGTCCCTAATTAATAGTGTAGTTTACACGCAGTCGACTACAGACATAATTAATTGCATTCCTTCCCCGGTGTGTATAGACGTCAGAAATCTCACGCCGGAACTAATCCAGTGAGTCAGAAACGACAAAAACTACACGCGTTGTGTTCACGCAGGCACGGCGTAGATTAAAATCGTTGCAAACGACGCCAAGTCGACTGCGGAGTTAAATTTACTGTTTTTGCCATTATATATCTGATTAAAAAATGCATACAAAACGTTTTTCTTTTATTTCACACTTTTGTGTCAGCAGTTTTTATTTATTACGTGCGATAGGTATATGTATTATTAGGATATCTATTTATAACTCAAAATACATGTACTCGCGAATTAAATACGATGAACATATTAGTGCTAATGAATGCGTATTTACAATGATAGTAATATACAATAAAGTGATTTATGTTTAAAAAAAAATATTATTATTCTATCATTACTTATACATATATTTGATTATTAACTTACATAATATAATAACAATAGTATAGAAGACACACGGTTGTCGGTTGCATCACACAATTTAACTGTTAAACCCAAATACTTATTTATTATACCTACAATAATGTTGTCTGTATAATACAAAGATTTAATTTATTTAAACTTCGTATATTTTTATAATAATAATACACGAGTAGTTACCGAATTAATGAATTCGATAACGTGCGACTTCGCGCGACAGTATAGTAAATTAGTTTACAACAAAGAGCGAGAAAAGATCTCGTTGTCGTATAGATTTTAAAGGTGTTGGTTGATGGAAAAGGCATATGTGAAACAGTTATACTACCAAAAAGTCCAAGGTCAAAAAGTCGGGTACATATGATTAGGTAGAAGAAAAAATACGTTGTGATGCACAATCAAACTTCCAATTAGCATTATTAAAAATTGTAACTAAATTATTTACCTGACGAAATTAATAAATAATCTTGTACGTACCAAAAATCGGCAAGATATTCAAAAAATATATTTAATGATCACTTATTATATGTTCCTAAATCAGGGCGGAGGCTTTACTTTTATGTATTTTTATTACATCCGTTTACCTCATAACCCCAAATTGTTTTATTCTTACATTTTACCCCAAATTGTTTTATTCTTACATTAGTGTAATACTGTAGTAGGGTAGTGCAAATGTTATACACAAAATCAACTCTTAAATAATCAATGACTTCAGCTAACCTTCGTCGTTCGACAATGAACGATCCGATGAGTTGCGAGACCTCGTAGGGTCAACGAATAGTGACCGACATTCTCGAACGCGGTGGCCGACATTTTCGCGAAAGGGTCGAGATATTTCGTCTCTGGACCGGCAGGGTGGTGTGTACTGCGTGTTATCATCATTGGCGGGGGTGTAGTAGCGGTGCACTGTCGGCGGCCCTCCCCTTACAGACAATACCATCATATACACGGACGGCTTTGACCCGGATATTGATCGTAACATGGTGCGAGAGCGCACGCGCGCAACGACCAACGAGACGGCCCACTCTCATTCAAAGGTTCAGTTCATTGATAAAATGTCTCTCTACCCCTCACCCTTCAAAACATTACTCTCCTACTACTCCTACGCAGCCACCCCTCCCAGCTCCCGGTATTCCGTAACTTGTTGATGGGGACGCCAACCTTTCCTCCCCACTCCACCGCCAAAAAGTTTCACTTCGTGTTTCAATTCCGTGCGCGTGTTATAACGTGGATCCGGTGCGCGTGGGAGCACTTCCATTCCGACATATACGTCGGCAGACTGCGTGGGCGTCTTCATTCACGGAATTTACCAGCGCGCGCGCACAAGAATATACTCACGCACCACGAGTAAAGAGTGCATATATACAATAACGACACCACCACTAAATATGTGTCCAGAGTTAGAAATTTCATGAAAATAATATCACACTGCCAAGAAATCACACGCTAGACGTTTTTTTAAATATATACTTCAAATACGCGTTTAATTATAGGTGCACGACGGGAAAAAAATAAACGTAATTTTAACGCATCGTACAGCGGCGGACGGACGTTTAATTAAAATTCTTTTCGGGGTTATTTAAGGCGTTAAAAAAATGTACGGTCGCCAAGAACTCCTGGAACACGTGTTTCTTGTAAGCAGTCCGTTCGCCGATATCGATTCACAGTAATCTATTTATGAAAATATTTTAAATATAATATTATGTACTCGCAATTACTACCACATTAACGGTTATGACTTAAAACCGTATTACCTATACGGCCAAAAATAATATTTCAACAAATAACAATAACTAATAAAACAAAACCCTAACACTCGAGAGTCGAGAGTATTTAGCATTTGAAAAAAAAATATCATGGCCATGTTTATTACGCATTTCTTTAAAACGATTGAGTATAATTTAAAATATATTTATCACCATAATATATAGGTAATAAAGAATAAACAACTATAGTCATACCGATCTCACTGAATCTTTTATTATATTTTATGAATCACATAACCCATTTTTCCTGTATGTGATGTGCCTCGGCATTGTTAGTATCCAAAGTTTTGAAAATCTAACGTGCATGCGCAATCGGTAATATTTCAAACTCACACGGTTGAAACGATACATCACGTCATCGTCATTTAAGGTATACTGCGCCATGGAAATTGCAATAAAAAAAATGTCACACCACTTAGAGATCTAAATTTAAAAAGGAAATGTTCAATTTACAATAAACAGTGAATAGCTGATATAAAATGTAGTGTCGTTACGCCAGATTAAATGAAAACCTGTCTTTACAACCAGTAACACATACGATTAGAAGGAAACAACAAGAAAACGCTATGCAAAGTTAAATTTTCTCAACACTCATTACTACCGCCGCCAACATACATCATATAATTTTTTTCACAATTCAATTTCGAAACAGACTAGCCGGGATAAAATCATGAGCGTGTGCGAAAACCCACTACTTACTCGCCCACAGTAGCGACGTTTATTGCGTTTAATATTTCGGCGAAACAGTGACAAACACCTGGGGCATGATAATACATCATAAAAATACGTAATACGTACCAACTACATGTAAGCCATCGTCGCAGACGACACACCCAGGGCAGGGAATAAAACGAACTTGAGACCCGATCGCAAACTAAGTGATAGAAAAATGTACCGTATAAAAAACTCACCGATGAATTCTATTGCTTGAGGGAAAAAGCTGGCAAGGTTTTGTCCGATATGATCGGAAATGGGTATCTGCATGTACTTGATATGTCCTTGTTCTTCGAAAGTGTTAGGCAAGTCCGACGTAACGTTCAAAATATACTAAAAAAAAAAAAACAAACGACCAAATCGATTATTAATCGTTATACATTCAGGCCCTTTGCAGTTAAACAACCCGTTTAGAATTTTTTTATTTGTATATAATTTGCTGGTTCATTTTATAGCTTATTGAATGAAATTTATACCTAGCAGTCAAAAATTATTTTTAAAGCCATTTAGAAATCATCTACTATTTCACCAAACAGACAACTAATTATATAAGTATGAAACTATGAAGTACTATTCAGTAAGCTAAAAAATATGGCATGAAATACAAATAATATTGTTATTATTGCAATATTATATTTTATTACATTACAAGTATTAACGTATTAATAGTGCTTTTTTACATAAAATGTCGGGTAATCAAATTCTAAATGTCAACAGTCGTTAACTATTTCTTTGTATAAAATACATGTTATTTAATTTGATTTGACTTGTAACAATGGTAAAATATGTATTATTAAAGTATAAATACGATTGTTTTAATAATATATATAGTGTACAGTGTATCTATATTCTACAATATAAGATAAAATATTATATTATATAAGTATTATCTATATTTAGTTAAATATATTTTTTTAATATTTCATAATTCTTCAGATATTTTTATAATAACACACAATAAGCCAGTCGTTTGGAAAAATAATATTATTTAAGTGGTTTCTTAAGGTACGCGGGTTACCCTACGGCTTACAGAGTTAAAACAGTGGAACAGGCTCGGCGGCTAGGCAGCGACTATCTGCGGTACAGCGATGACTGTCCTTCCAAACGCTGCAGGGAAACCGTACCTTAACAAGATTAATCGGCTAAACGCTGCCTTACTTAAAGACTAGAAAAAGCTTGCAAAAAATAGGAATTTCTTTATATCTACGGGACATATGAAATTACCTCTATCCGGTGTTTCTTGAGCCATTCCAAGTCTTCTGAATTGGTCGCGTTACCAAGGAACAGGTCGGGTAGGATCTCCACAGGAAAGTCACGGTCTTCATCGTAGCCAAGTATCGAACTGGAACTGTCCACGTCAGATAGACTGTCGATGTCTGAACCACCGGAGCTCTCAGGCGATGTGCTGAGCACGGACAGCAACTGGTGCTGACGGCGTGAGTTCCGGGTGTGAGGCACAAGCGATGGGGTGATGTGTAGCGACCGCAAGCCCATCAGGGTGTCTGTATCGCCAATGAAACCAGTCATGTCGTCGTTGGCCCGGGCGCAACGTTCCAAGAACGATTCACACCATTCTGGATACGATTGTTGGAACGCGTCGAAACTCTCTGAAAAAAAATTATTAACATTATCATTATTGAATGCTTAAATATTATAAGTATAGAAGAAACCACAAATCTATATGGTATTTTGATCACTTATCAAGTATATGTTGCCACAGAGGAGTAAAAAGCGCACAACTATTTGAAACCTAATCAATTTTTTCGGCTAAATACTAACATTATAAAAATAGATAGTAATTATTTTTTCGAGTTTGTTTGTCCTTCTTAAGTATAATTTAAAAACTTATTTTCACACGTATGCATCTGTATACGATTAACAGAAGTCCGGAACTATCGTTCTGTTTCCGGAGCTAACGAGTTTTCTATTACCACGTCTACTAAGTAATAACTAACAGTAGTTATTACTTAATACTTACTGCTATAAATAAACTCTTTTTACGAGTAGGTACCGACCAACATTGTATTTATTACTTACGTCTATCACCACGGTTCACGATATTTTAACGCGATACGTTTTCATTATATTTGAGTAGCGGGTTTCTGTGCATCGAGTGAAATTCTATATTGTAGTTCTAAAGAGTGTAGTTATGTGGAAATAAAGTTACTAGTTAATGAATAGTGACCATTAAAAGATAATCATTTATTAAGTAATATAGGTGATCAATTAATTGGGAAGTGTTTGTTTGAGGGGAGGGGGTGGATATCAATATTTACTTTCGTACAGTTCATCAGTTGACTTAAAATACATCAAATACAATTTAAAAAAAATAAAAACCAATTAAAAGATATAGCTAGGTACGAATAAAATGCGTGTATAGTTTTCATAATGATTTAGAAATTTTCGTATTATAATGCAAAAAAAAGTTCCCATGTTAAAATTAAATTTACGCAAATTGACATGCCTAATCGTAATAATAAATATGTAGTTCTTTTTTCAGCTTGCTCGCTATATCTGAAGACACTATAATTGAAAATTTAACATACCGTTGCTATAAAAGGGCTTGTTTTCATAGAAAACCTATTTTAGTCGTGCCTTTTCAATGACTTCAGTGCATCAGTTGCATTATTTACAAGGCGAGGCTTCAATGTTTTAATTTATTACTAGACATAAAAACCTCTAGTAACAAGCCGTGACCAAAACTCGTTGTTTATGGATTTATTGAAGTGTTTAATACAAATCCAACATTATTTATATACGTTACTCATATATACATATTATAATAGTTATATTCTTAACAACTTAACGTCGTCAACTATTTTGCTTGCATTATAATACATATCATACAACATATAAGTCGTAACATATGGATGATATTTATTTAGATGTTTAGTTCATTGTTAATAAGTATATAAGTGGTAATTTATAATATTCTCTAACCCCGAGGTGTGTCTTTCAACATACTCCAACATATGGTAACAACATCCTGACGCTTCAGGACTATTCATAGAAATCAGTTCGTAACACATAATCGGACCGACAATATTCTAACTTTAAATTCAAAAACATAATAAAAGTGACGATATGCTATTTAAATGTGTGTATAGAGTTAAATTTCGATTATTATTGACATTACATGCCGAGGAAAAAGTTACAAACAGTTTTATATAAATCAAAATAACTATGTATATCGTAATATTTACGCGTTTTACTTAAATATTTAACAGTTTCATTGATTTTCGTCCATCAATACTATTAGTAATGATTGAATTCGTAAATAGCAAAAAAAATATCGACACGGTAAAAAACATAAATAAATGCGGAAGTATGGCGAAAACGATTTTATCTAGATAATTGATGAAAATAAATCATTTAGAAATGGCTTCGTCAACAAATTTCCGAACGAATAGACCACGACCGACGATATTATATTATGCTGTAAACACAAACTCGCAAATATAGACAATATATTTAATCTTAAAGAAAATAAAAAAATCCTCATCGAGGTTTACGAAAAGTATTTTTAACGTATGTTAGTTTCAAATCAAATTTTCCGCCACCCACGCACGCACTCGTTTTTTTCCATTTCGTCAGAGTAAAGAAAACATTCCCTGTAACAGTGTATGTGTGGGTTCGCGATGAGTGGGCGCCGCCTTCACCGCTCCTGATCGCCTCGTGGTAAATAACATTGGCGCTTCTCACAAAGGGTCCCCGTCCTCATCGTCATCTAGACCAGGCGGCGGCTGCAACAACGACGCATCGATCGACCAACACCGACCGGCTCAAGTATACAATATATAATATTAGAGACGTATGGTACGCACAACTCGGGCGGACACCCGACCGGAAATCAAAATTGGCCCACCGGAAACCGGCTGCCAATAAAACCGGATGATTTATTAACGAACCCACGACGACGTACCCTGCCACCACCAACGCCCAATACTCTTATTCTCGGGACATATTATATATTATACATAGGCACCGAGTGTTTGTCGAGTCCGGTCACATTAATCCCCAGACGGGAAAAAAAATAACAAACCTATCTATTTTTTGTATTGTTATTATTATCGTCGTAACGCTTTATACAACTCGATACACTCAAGAACACTTTTCTTGAGCTGGTTACAGCAAAAATACGAAAAACCACGAATAAAAACATCTTAATTATGATGAAAAATAAACAAGTGCGTCCGGTGCTCGTCGAGAACATATATATACGCGCCATCATAAATGAAAATAGGTCAAGACGAAACATAATGGCGACCCACGTGTATTAACAACTAACAACCCCCGGAACGCCTACTCGGACAAAAATTTCGATATATGGCACACGTTAACCGGTTTTAATTGTATTTTTCCAAACTCAAAATCGCCCACCGTCGTTGTGGTTGATAAAAATAATCTTAATAGAAAAATCTTTTCCTAGTAAAAATAAATGGCGGTAAACAATAACGAGCACGGGACAGGAGATCGGACAGTGCTGGCCGATGCACCGCACGTGGTATTTCCATCGTCTGGTTGCCATGGGGCACGAGGTGCGCTTCAATGAATATGAAAACCTGACGGAGGCAAGGCGCGTGATCACGTAACACGTTCTACATTACATAAAGACCTTTTTATAAAATAAACCCCACCGCCGTCGTACCAGCAACGACCCACGCGTTTTCAGAGGCCCGATTATATCGATCCTCCGGCCGAGGCCCATACAAATATATAGGTCAACTCCGAGCGTATTATTAACTTACTGTGAACACAGACCGCGCACCGCTCGGAAAATACTTCACATGCTGGACCGGGTTTGTTGTTAACTTAACCTCCCCATCAATGATCGAATAGAAGTGTTCTTAACTTTAACTCTAATTGATTATATTTTTAACAGATTCTTTATATTCACTGCGTAGAATGCGATCGATTGATACACCGTAGCACTAATTTGTATTCGCTGCTATAATGTGATAGATTAATTATTATTATTTATGAAAATGTTTCAATATTCGTTCACCTCGAAAACCTGCAGGTTCATTACTCTTGTTGTTGTTCGAAATAATCTCATTTAAAATCTTTATCTACTATTATTGAACGCCTGCTGCCCAACACAAGTGGCCAAATATAATTAATAACACTCATAAAGGTATTTATTTTATATTATTGAACTATTCAATTAAATAATGAATAATATTATCATGAATAAAATGTAAAATGAATACAAAACCAATGGAATCTAATCCAAACATTACTCTTATAGTTTTATATACCTAATTACTTGGACGGTATTTATTAAGGTGGTTATCGTTTTAATTATATATTTCGTTTTATGTTACATAAAAATTAATTTTACTTAATAAAATGACAATCATGACTCTCACCATCTTAAATTACAACACTAAAAATTTAACTATTAACCACAACCATAGTGATCGGTCACGAATAAATCCTCAATAATTTTAACATTTTTATAAAATAAAAGGCATATTATCTAGCTTGGTGTTTCGTGACGCGGAGTTTAAAGTTTAAAATATATAATAAGATAAACCATAGGTCATTTTTTGACGTATTAAATGTAGTATATTACTGCTTTAAGTAGAACAGTTATTATTATTATTACACAATAATAGATCTAAGTAATTAAACAGAATAATCAAAGTTAATTGCATTCTAAATAAATGTATTGTCGTACAATAGAAAATTCTAATCATAGTACATTTAAATCCGTTATATATTATTATATTAAACAAACAAGTAAAACAGTGGTTGCTAGTAGAGTGGTATCCTAACAATAATATAACCAAGCACATGATTTGCATAATGCAGAAAGCTTACGTCTCAACTACTTAGTCCCTACTCCCTAGTAGGCACTTGACAGTAACACCAAATAAAAGAAAACATACCTCTATATGTCATATACATTTTTTGATCACTGCAAATGGTAAATAATTCAAAGTGTCTAAATATAAAATGGGTGTTTATAGACGCACCACCGGATATCCTTCATAAGAATGAACGTAGAGTGCGAGAAATCCGCACCAGAGTCGTACGTTTTTAAAATAGGTTGTATGTTTTTCGAATTCCCAGCAGTAGTGGAAACGGAAACCGGGCGACTTATTTTCGGACTAGGCGTGTCCGGGGTACTGGTTTTTGCACGCCAAGGCCTCCCGCTGAAAAGGAAGCGCGCAACGGATCCTAAATGCCGGAAACGTACATCCGGTTTAGTTTAAAAACACACGGCAGGATAAACACATACGTATGCGCACGCGCCGGATACAGGCAGTTTGGTTGTGAAACAAAACATGCGCTCTTTCCGGCTATTCAATTGGATCTTTTCGCCCGTTGGAAAAAATAACTCACTCAAATAAACTCTGTAAATATCATTCAAAATAACGATATTAAATTAAAAACGTGAAAAACGGGTAAACCATAACTTGTACCCTTATGTGCGTGGGGGTATAAAATAAAAAAACATAATGTCTATCCTGAGCAGTTTCCGTTTCTTTGACTCGTTTGCGTGGGAAACGACTAAAATTATACAGCTACACAACTACTGCTGCGACCGATTGACGATTCCGGTTTATCATTGATTAACTAAAGACTGGCGCGCACGTCTTGT